CTGTCAAGATGGGGTGCTGAGTGTACATTAATGAGAAATAAAATGAACTTTTTTGATTTTAGCAAATGGCTGCAATGAAACAAAGAGTGAACAATTGAAAGGGGTCTGAATACTTTCCGTACCCACTGTATAACACAATGAAGAGGAACCAGAAGTGGAATCAAATGAAATGAAACAAACACATGAGGCCATTTTACTTGAAAGGTGACCTTCATAAGGAATATAAAAACTCTTCTTCTTGCTTTTTTTTAAATTTCAGTATGTTCCGTACGTTTTGGCACTAAGTTAGGAAGGGTCTCTTCTCGCCCTGTAAATGTTAACTTGTCCGGCAGGTCGCTTCTTTATTTATTTCTTTAGCTTTATTTAATTGACTTAGTTTAGTTAAGTCCACTGAGAATAGTCTGTGTGCAAACTAACTTCCACACCAAGTGCTCAAGCTATAAAGACTTACAATGACGGCCAGTCCACGCCTTTACTTGAGTTTACCAACATTTTTGTGTAAACAGCTCTTATTTCAATCAGTTGTCTGCTTTATTAACCTTGAAGATGAGACACAAGTCAACTCAAATTTATCGGAAGCTACAAGGTGAGAATCCACAGCGCTGGAGGCGATTTGAGGAGCCACATCTGCACTGTATTTGACCCTTGAGTGAAATTCAGAGGAAATGCAGTGTGAAAGTGCAAAGCTTCCTGCTGAGGTCTGTTGTCTCTTACGGCTCTAACTGAACCACACATCTGCGGTGGGAGGTGACACTAACACACACTGCTGTAACAGTCAGATTAGTGCAAGTGTGGACGGTGCTGAGGGCCTGATAGTGCAGCGGGCTCATGAGGGCATACACCGGCGGCTATGAAGGTAAATATGTTGCAATGCCTCTGATATCGTGTTGATGTTTGAGCTGAATAATGTGAAATACCTACATAGTTTTATTAGAATTTGAAGTCGCATGATGAACTTCAAACAAAGAGAAAGTGACTGTATACTGTATAGTATTGGTGGGAGAATTACTCTACTCCTTTACTTAAGTGAAAGCACCAGTAGAAAGTAAGTAAGTACAATGTTGAGGTACTTGTACTTTGCTTAAAATACATACACATTGTTTTAGATTAAATCAGTGGTTTCCAACACTTTCGTCTGTTGACTAGTTAACAAAAAAGCTGTGTTGAGTTTCATTGCCTGGAAAATAATTGTTGGAAGCTCTCAGAGGTGCTTTTAATTTATTTTTTTAAGTAAAAAAAATGAATATAAATGCGAGTAGCAGACATGTAGGTATATTGTGCTGATAATACACTTAATGTGATTTGAGTGAAGTGGTATTCAGCTGGTTGCAATCTGCAACCACACCACTGGATGCCCCCAAATCCCACACACTGTCCCTTTAAGGAGGACTTTTAATGAAATGGAGTACTTACATTGTTGTATTTAAACTGTTACTTAAGTAAAAGATCTGAGTACTTCTTCCACCACATTATTAAAGTAATAATACCACAGTGTAAAAACACTACATAATGTAAAAGCCGTTGCAGCTGCTGCAGTACATTCAGCAGATACACACAGATGTTAATAGAGGATATTGACTGACCCATTTCTGACCGCAGCAATTTCCCCTCACAGTTCTGCCAGACAATAACTTCCAAACTCCAACGCTATTCAACCTCGAGCCAAGAAAGCAATTACAGTGCTGACACTTTCACCAGGCACATCTGTTGAAATCCCAACCCAGCATCTGTGTTTATCCCCGTGAATAAACACTGGACATTTTCCTCAGAGGAAGTGGTTCAGACGTTCAAGTGCAAATACCCAGTGTATGTGTATATATATATATATATATATATATATATATTTACAGATCTTTGAGACAAAAAAAAGACATTTGAAGTCACTTTCAGAACTTGTGACAGGCTTTTTTTCATAAATACAAAATATAATCAGCAGGCTAATCTAATAATTGATAGTTTGAGGCCTTGTTTTAAAATCAAATACTTTTGGTTTGTTGATTTATTCCCTAAACCTTATACACTTTTGACACGTTTCCTATTTTTTTTTTATTGTTTGTGGAAACAACTGTAGAGACATTTAAATTACATTTAAATCACAAATCTCATAAATCTCTCTCTCTCTCTCTCTCTCTCTCTCTCTCTCTGTCTCTCTCTCTCTCTCTCTCTCTCTCTCTCTCTCTCTGTCTCTCTCTCTCTCTCTCTCTCTCTCTCTCTCTCTCTCTCTCTCTCTCTCTCTCTCTGTCTCCAACACTATCTGTCCAACAAGCCCACAAGTGGTCAAAGTGACACCTATAAACGGTTTTAGTTAGGCTTAGTGTCGGGTAAATGGAAGGCATCTATGAGGTAACGCTCTTCAAACAAGCCGTGCTGCATTAGGGAAGACATCCACTGTCTATTTGTTTGCTGAGGATGTCCGGAGTGGGGGGTCTGATGTCTATTCCCCATAAAGGCTCAGCTTTATATTTGTTAAGCTTTTAACAGGCTTTTAGCATTGACTGTGACTGGTCAACACGTATGCAGTAGATGCAAAGTGGGAAACTTCCACTGACTTTATTTTTAGTCCCCCTGCGAAACCAAAGTGTGCTTGACGCTGTCTTGTTAAAATATCATATTATTCTGATACAGCGTATATGGCGTTTATGACAGTTGACAGTTTATCAGCCTTCGTCCCATCTGTACAGCTGTTATCAGTCATCCAAAAGTCATGTAAAGTCAACTGATACATGGACTAGGGCCAGGACTATATTTGGGCAAAGGCATGACCCGCCTTCAACCGCCTCTGATTGGCTAATGTCTTCATTGGTTGGGTTGGTTAGGTTTAGGCATGAGCAGTGAAATTGGTTAGCCTAAGGGTAAGACTATCTGGGTAAGCCAATCAGAGGCCGAGTAGGGCGGGTCACGCCCAAAAAATATCACTGACCGTACTGTTTACCATGTACACCATATCAGTTTAGCATGCTAACATTATCAAATTAGCACTAAGCACAAAGAACAGCCGAGGCTGATGGGAGTGTCATAGTTTTGCAGGTAGTTTATCAAAAACCAAAGTATTGGACACGTTGGAAGTTTGAGCTTTTGATCACAAAATACAATTCATTTAGTGGGGGACATGAATACATGTCTGGACCTAACTTCTTGGCATTTATTTATTGTTAATTGACACTTAACTCAAATTCACAAATTCACAACGTCATGAAAAGTCAGTGGGATGATTCGTCCTCTGGGGACCGTGAACGTATGTGCCCAATTTCTTGGCAATCCATAGTAGTGGAGATATTCCAGTCAGTATTTCCACCCAACATTGCCACCCCTGGAGCCTTGGCACTAGCATGGCTAAAAGCAGTGGAGCAAAGATCCTTTTGTTTTCCAAATCATGAAGATGGCAATACTGAATATACAAAATAATGGTACTCGTAATCTTCTCATGAAGTGGGGAATTCATCGTCAAATGTGGTACTCATAAAAGAGAAATTGGCATTAAACTGAGACGGATGAGCAATAATTATGATCTACATCTACAGTATGAATGCTGTGATGTTTTCTATTAATTTGGATATTTGTCCATGTTTTCATTCATACTTTTTTTTATGTTTGCAATAATTCAAATTCATTTTATCGATTTTTTGCTGCCTAAAATAATATAAAACATTCAAGTGCATTGAGTTAAAAGATATTCATATCCACCTTTAAAAAATGTCTAACTTTAAATTAGCTGATACTGACATTATCGTATAGTATTATATTTACTTTACATACCATATGAATCTGTTTAACCCTGAACTGGACCAAAGGCATCCCTTATATTCTGCATATTCATTGATTTCCAAAGATGTATTTTCTGTACCCAGGTAGAATTTTTGTTTTCCTTTGGTCTGCATTTCTTAAGGAGGAATATGTTTGCCTGTACGACCAGCTGGATTATCATGAGTCACTGTACTGTACCAGGATCTGCTGTGCAACCAATCCAAGCTCTTTACTCAGTAAACATAATTCAAAAAGTCCCTGTTAGACAAGAATACTGCATTTGTTAAAAACATATGAATGTTGCAGCTTTGAACAAAAATACTACTTATTTGAACTGCAGTTTACGAGTAGAATAGTCTGTATTTTGGCCACATTCTCAAATAGATGGCCGTATATGAATGCTTAGGATACATGAAGGGAATAGTGGACACTTTGGGGGAACGGCCTTAAAAGTAGCCGCTAACTTCCTCAAACACCACCGGCATGCATTCTGGCGAAATTCGCTCCGCTGCGCATTTATTGTCCCCACCTTTGAAACTTTAGTTGAGATAATATTTACCGAGCAAAAGCACGCGTGTGCCATAACTCTAAAGTGCAGTCTGCTCCGCGCGCGCGCGTGCACCGACGGGCTTGTGATTCGGACGGTGATATCGGTCTCACACTTTCACCTCAGCGCAGAAACGATGGTTGGTGGTTTTGTTAATACTCACATATCAGGTGTTAATGTCCGGGGGAGCATTTCTGACTTTATGGTCCGCTCACCTCTGCGCAGGTTTCCATCGGTAAGGTGCTCCTCGGAGTGTTCGGGGTGGCGGTGGTCGTCATTCTGATAGCGGTACCCACGGCTATATTCTTGAAAGGTGAGTCTTTCTGCTATTTAGATGATTAACATGTTTCACATGTTTGGCATCAGCGCGCTGCTGTTGTTTTTTGTTGTGGTGCGGGGCGCCGTTTAGTCGCTTTACGCATGCGTCATTACGCATGATCTGTTTGAAATGGCACCGCTTCAAAATAAGCCTATGCGTACATGTAAAGCAATTTATGCTTCCATTTCAAAATAAAACACAAATTCAGGGTGTTTCTCTGATACAACACGTGTGTGCCTTTAAATAGTTTCATTTTCACTCAGCACACATATGACATAAATAGCCCCAAATACGCACTTACCCGTGAGCAATATTTCCCCTGTCATTATCAGTCACAGCCTTTACAGCACTTGCCTTCCTTTATAATGATGACCGGATATGTGTGTGTATAATATCATATCTATAACATGTGACCTTCAAGTCCCTGCCAATGTGTTGTTGTTTTTCAGAGGAGCAGGAGGGGAACAAGAACACGAGATTTTTCACACTGGAGGATGTCTTCAACAGTTCACTGAAACCAAAGTCCATCAGCATGAGGTGGATCTCAGGTGAGATTATTACACCCGTGGAAAGGAGCGATAAAGTGGAGGTGACACTGATTACAGCCACACGGCTATAAATGTGTCCTAAAGGATGCTTTGCTATCAGTCAGCTACAGTCCTCCTTCATTCTAGTTACTAATTCACTTAGATTGATCCCCTCATTCATGTGTGTGTGAATTATTGCTCCACGACTTTGTCTGTTTAGCTGATGTTTTTTGGGATTTGCATGCTTGTCCTCCATTTTAAATCAAATATTAAATTCTATTTGACTTTTTTTCCCCCCTCATCTTTCACAGATCACGAGTTTCTGAATAAGTCCCAGGGCTCAGTTTTCCTCCAGAACGTGGTCACAGGAGTGTCCTCTGAGTTCTTGAGCAGAGACAACTTCGTAAGTCGTCCACCCCGAGTGCATCTGTGCGCTTCATTTGTGTAACCGCATGAAATTGGCATGAAAACTACATACCCGTCCGAAACAGTCACAGTCTTGTCTGTGAGGTCATGAGCATGGTTCTGTGAAACTCTCACAAAAGTTTTATTTTTCCCGATACAGAGCGAAAAGGGCGCTTATGATTACCAGCTGTCCGCTGACCGCAACTATGTTGCATTCATGAGCAAACGTTCCAAGGTACAATCAGCTTTTATTCACATAAATCGGACGCAGATTTAAACTGTTCACACTACAGTGTTGTTGTTTTTTTGTCCCATTAGCTGTGGCGGCATTCTTTTACTGCTACATATTCACTCTATGACCGGGTATTAAAGTAAGTACCCTTATTCTGAAAGTATGTGGTTTCCTATGGCGTGTTACATTCATGCACTTATAATAATGCAATGCACGTCAGTTAAAAGCATCCACCAAATGGTCCATGTTTAACGTGCAAAGTAGATTATTTTAGAATATTTCTTCTGAAATGAAAAAAATGGTACAGCTCATCACAGTTTCACCAATCTGTTTTTCATTTCGCTTCATCTCAGCACATTTCTCCCACCCTCTGACATTCCTGAAGAGATCCAGTACTTTGCCTGGGCTCCTCAGGGGAACAAATTGGTAAGCTTTGCACACGTAATGATTACTGTTATGTGCATAACTTTGAGCGACGGTTGGGCTTTGAAGGTTGGTGATGGATGAGGTGATCGACCTTTCCCAAACACTTGAGCAGAGCAAACTAGGTTCGTTGTGAACAAACCAGGCTGGCCTTTCTTTAAACCCACGTATTTGTGTTTTTATTTTCAGGCCTATGTTTGGAAAAACAATGTGTATATAAAGATCAGCTCTGGGTCGCCCCCGAAGCAAGTCACTGACAATGGCAAGGAGAATCTGATTTTGAATGGGATCCCAGACTGGGTGTATGAGGGTAAGTGGCACATGATGTCACACAGAGAGCAACACTACAACACCCAATTAATTGTTCCACCAAAGTAAGAGATTTTCACCTTTGACTCTCAGATGAGAATGATTTACTCCTTTCCAGTTGTTCTGATACACTGTTCATGGCTGTACTAAAACTACGAAAAGCAATGCACTAAAATTCGTATTTAATCGATTCGTATGCAAACCACGAAATTCTGAACCAGGACAGAAGAGGGCGGGGCCGGGCGGGGTTGGGGTTTAAAAACACTGGACTTTCACCCAGGAGACCTCTGTTCATGTCCTGTGTGAAACCAGAAGTCAACATTGACTTACAGTATATGTCACACAACTTCCATACTTAAGTAATGTCACTTCCGTAGTCACTTGGAAGTCCCCCATGGAAGTCCTGAACCCTAACGCAGCTTCACACTTTCCCCCTTACAGAGGAGATGTTCTCATCCAATCAGGGCCTCTGGTGGTCCCCTGGAGGAAAGTACGTGGCTTACGTTGAGACCAACGACACAGACGTCCACACCATAGAGTACGCCTGGTATGGCGAGAACCAGTACCCCAGCACTGTTTCCATTCCATATCCAAAGGTGGGACGTCCATCCGGGCCTTGTCTGACTCTAACGAGCTTGTACTGGGATCAATGTATTCAATCAACGTGTGTATCTTACATCCTTCTGTTGTGCAGCCTGGTACTCCCAACCCTACTGTGAGACTGTTTGTTGTGGACACTGACAACAAAACTAATATCTCTGAGGTTGTTGTTCCAGCCTCCTTCAGCTCGAGGTAATGAATCAGCCTCTCTATTATTATTATTATAGGGAAGTAAATCAGGAACAAAAAAAAGCTGAAATATTTGTTTGTTGCCCCATAGTGAGCACTACTTGGCGACTGTTACTTGGGCAACCGATGAACGTCTTGCTGTCCAATGGCTGAAGAGAGCACAAAACCACCTCATCCTTCAGATCTACAATTTTAGTGGAGTCAGCTGGGTTCCCGATGAGGTAAAACAAGATATTATGAAGAAGTATTATGGTGTTTCTACATTATATAGCATACAATTGGACACTGGTGTTACACAGAGATACTATGCAAGCCCAAACCATGTAAACATTTAAATAGAAGTTAAACCTACACAGAGCAACATGTTTTACTGAAAGGGAGGATAAGCTAAAGGTTTTAAATACTAATATTCAGTTTTCCATATGTACATAGAAAGAGTAATTGGCAGATGTGAATTTTTCTCTTATTCATACTGGCCCTCGGCTCTGTGAGGCTTTTGAATGAAATGCTAATATCAGCACGCTAACATGCGTGTGGTGACAATGCTGATGTTTAGTGGGTGGAATGTTTATCTCATTCACTATCTTAGTTTGGCGTGTTAGCATGCTAACATTTGCTAATTCGCACTGAACACAAAGTACAGCCGTAGATGCACATGGGGAAGCCCATGAGGCCTCATCCTCTGGGGACCACAGATGTTTGTACAAACTTCTACGAGAATCCATCAGTAGTTCTTGAGATATTTTGGTCTGGACCAAAGTGGTAGACCAACTGACATTGCTATCTATAGAGCCAATAACCAATAAAACACAGCGTATTGTTTTACGACAGACTTAAACAAGTTATCCTTTTAACTACCTGGAATATAGCAAGACCTACTTATATACTGAGCAATACTGAATCATGAGCATTTATTTTCTAAGCTCCATGTCACAAACTCTTGCTGTTCACATTGTTCCTTTTATTAATGATCATAATGCTAAGTCACTGGGAGTCACAGTTGTTGATTTAACCTGGTTGTAAACACATGAAGACATTTTTGCTTTTGCTTGCTAAGCCCTTCCACTCCAATGTTAGCTGAAGGGTTTATCAAATTTTGTTCTGTGTTGCAACATCTCTTTTAGCGAAGACTGATAAGGCTTGTAAGTTGTAATAAAATCTAGCTTAGTGCAGCTATAAAAACTAAGTGTATCTCTTTTTACAGCACCTGGAGGTGAAGAGTCTCAATGGATGGATTGGAAGGGTATGTCCAGTGCACAATTAAAGGTTATATATATATTTTGTGTGTTAAAGCCTGATATTTCTTCTTCCCCTGTGTCTTAGAGCTCCATAGTTGTCCAAAAACCTACCATGAATACACACACTATTGTTTATTTTGACTCAATCCCACAATCACTCCCCTGCTTACCAAAATACTCACTAAAGCACGAAATGTGGATTATTCTGCCGCTGAAAATAGTCCCAATAATGATGATAACTACAGTGCCCAGCTACTTTCACACATTACCAAACCTTTCCTTTTAAATAAAACTATACTATATTTAGTTTTCTAAGATTTACACATCTGTTCTTTTTAGTTCTCTCCACCAGAACCAGTCTTTGACGAAGACAAGAACAGCTATTACCTGTTGATGAGCAACACCGAAGGGTACAAGCACATCCATCATGTGGTTGGGGTAGGTTGAATGATTTATTTTAGTCCAGTATAACAACGGCAAATTGCCCCTTTTTTGAGAATTGCACAATATGACCCATATTGTGCAGTATCCATTGTTTTTCTGTAGCATTCTGCACATTCTGCTCTGACTCACCATGCAGGGCACAGCTACAGCAATCACCTTTGGAGCATGGGAAGTCATCGACATTCTGAAAGTAACTGCAGACAGTGTGTAAGTTGCTGTGTCATCTGCATACAGCTGCATAACGCCTGACGAGCACACAATTTCTCTCTTGAGAGAAAAATGGATGGATATTTCCACACTGCATGACTGTACAGCTTCCTGTAGTCTGCGAATGATCGGAAATATTGTGTGTCTTTAGTGTCTTTAATGCATGATATTATGCAAATACTATATTTGGAGTTTAAGAGAAAATTGTCATCTGAAAATTCCTTCTCACTCATTCATAACATTCCTCAGATATTATTCAAGTAATGAAGAGGGCAACAAGCCAGGTGGAAGGAACGTTTACAAGTAAGGGCTTTATTTGACAATTTTAATATTCTTTTTTGTTATTTCATCATTTTTGATACAAAGCATTTCTTCAGACTTAAAGTGAGTGTGTGTGTGTCAGGTGGACCAAACAAGGGCCCAAGTGTCTGACTTGTGGGTTCCGCGGAGAAGACTGTCAGTATAACTCTGCCTACTTCAGCCACAATGCCTCCTTCTACCGTATGAGCTGCAGCGGTCAGTTATACTTTTGTGTAATACATACGGTGGTATATTGCATTATTATTATGTATACAGAATATATCATATACAATAATAGCTTATACTATTGTTGTCATTCTTACGCACAGGTCCTGGCATTCCTTACCATTCTCTCATGGATAACAGGAATGATAAAGGTGATCCAGAAATTTGAAATAAAATCTGAAATAATATCAAAGAAGGAGAAAATGTTATTCTAATGAGCCATCTATATCTTTTTTTAATTTGTAGAGCTCAATGTTTTGGAGGACAATCAAGCATTTAGCAGCCTGATAGCTGACATCCAAATGCCGACTATGCGACGCCGCTCCATCACACTCCAAGGATACAGTAAGTGAATTCAACAGCCACGAATTAAACAAAGAGTTGCAGATGGGTAGACTTTGTTACTGTTAGACCGAGCCCCCTGTTTCCACTCTTTGTGCTAAGCTAAGCTAACCGGCTACTTGCGGTAGCTTCATGAGAGTGGTATCAATCTTCTCATCCAGCCCACAGCAAGAACGCAAATATGCGTTATTCCCAAAATGTTGAAGGACACTATTATATAGATTGGGAGCTACTTGAAAGTGAAAAGAGAGTATGTCTTCCACCACTGTTTTCCACTCACCATCAATGATTATTCACATCTTTCTAATCTGTTTGACAGATCTCTGGTACCAGATGTTTTTGCCTCCAGGTTTTGATGAATCCAAGAAGTACCCTTTACTAATAGATGTGTAAGAATTTATCAAAAATAAAGAACTAACATTTAATTATAAATGCTTTTCAATGGACAGTTCATAAGCTGATACTAAATGTTGCCCAACCGTCCAGGTATGCCGGTCCCTGCAGTCAGAAAGCAGACTACGTCTACAGGGTGAGCTGGTCCACCTACCTGGCCAGCACTGAGAAAGTCATCGTCGCCAGCTTTGATGGAAGAGGAAGCGGGTACCAAGGCGACAAGTTAATGCACGCAATCTACAAAGGTCTGGGAACCTATGAAGTGGAAGATCAGATAACAGCAGCCAGGTAAGGAAAGCGAGGACCGGTTTAGACAAGTCAATGCGTCCCCCCGCTCGAACAAACAGCTTCACCCTCCGTTTCCCAGGAAAGCTTGATCAAACTAGATTTGACATGTTTCTGTGGTTGAATTGCTATCAGGTGTACACAGACATACACACAGCAGTCATCATGAGCATCACGGAGTGACGGTGATGATCAGAAAGCCTGTCGACATCCTTTTAAATTACTGCCCCATGTTGAGATAATTGTCTTTTTCTTGTATTTTAGGGAATTCATCAAAATGGGCTATGTTGACAAAGACAGAATTGCTATTTGGGGCTGGGTAAGTTATCAAGACCTTGTATAGAAACACTTTTCCTTAAACACAAAAGTGATCAAAAATGATGTATTACATTCGTCCCTGCTGATAATGATTTTTTGGTTTTTAAATTTATTTATTTATTTATTATTTATAACTTTTGAGGCAAGAAATAGGCAATGCAGTAACAGCATCTTGATCGGTATTCAGTTACCGGCTGTAGCTTGAAGAAATATGCAGTGTTTTAATTTAATTTAATAGTTCAGATGGCAATAAAGGGCCCTGAACAATGAGTTCATGTTGCACCCTGCCGTCAGTGTGCTCTGACTTTACTAAAGGGTTAGGACGAGCTGCAGTTATGAGCTGTCTTTCTGTCACAGTCTTACGGCGGATACGTGACGTCAATGGCCTTGGGATCTGGAAGTGGAGTTTTCAAATGTGGAATGGCGGTCGCTCCAGTGTCCAAATGGGAATATTATGGTAAGTGCTTCATGCTTACAACCTCCTCAGACCGAACACACTCGCTATACGGCGCACAATATCGGCAATAATCCGTCTGTTTATTCCAGATTCCATCTACACGGAGCGCTACATGATGGAGCCCTCAGAGAATTATCCGGCCTACATTGTGAGTTTCCCACTCAGCGATATCGCGATCGTCTCTCGTATCTGACGGTCGATATTCGTCACGCCTGTGGTCACCAATAACCATAAATCTGATTGTGTGCAGAATTCCACAGTAACTGCCAGGGCCAAGAATTTCCATTCAGTGCAGTATCTTCTGGTTCATGGAACAGCTGACGGTGAGTTATGCAGGGCTACTATTTATCTGTTAACGATTTAAGTTATATGTTATACAGTGATGCCAATAGGCCCTATGCGTTGAGAGGCTTGTTAATCATCTCACGTTGTTGTTTTTCTAGACAATGTTCATTTCCAGCAGGCAGCCGAGATCTCTGAAGCTCTGGTGGACGAGCAGGTGGACTTTGAGGCGATGGTGAGTAATGTGGAAAATCCAATGACTGGAAGAGTGTGGCTTAGTGTCATAGAGTAATATTTCTCTTTTTTTGCATCTTTTAGTGGTACACGGACAAGGATCATGGGCTCGGCGGCTCGGCCTACCAACACGTCTACACACACATGAGTCACTTCCTACAGAGGTGCTTTGCATGAGGTCCACTGGATCTCTTTACATTGCCTCATGTGAATAATTAGTGCTCCAAACGCCAGAAAAGTACAAAATGTCATAATATAGTTCTGTGTCTGAGAAGTCAGAAAAAAAAGCTTATCTGTAAATTTTAACTTACAGTTTTACTTGTAACACAGACATGAAAAATGTGATTTATTTTGTAATTTTTTTTGTTTCATTGATTAAAGTTTTAAAGAGGTTGTTATTTGACTTAATGTTTAGTTTGTTCACCATCTTAGTTGACCAAACACCAGCAAAACCATTGGCCTCCGCTGTACTTTGTGTTTAGCGGTAATTATTAGCAAATGCTTACAAACAAAACAAAGACGGTCAATATGGAAAGTCTACCTAAAATTAGCATGTTAGCATTTATCCTTGTGAGTATGTTAGCATGCTATAGCACTTAGCAAGTAGTCTACAGCCTGATAGACACAACTTGAGGTTGTTTTAAACGTCAATTTCGGACAAAAAAAACAGGCTTGGTGTGCAAAGGCCTTTAGTCTTGTGGGAAATAATAGCCTGCTAGACAAAGGAGAAGGGTAAATAAGTTACCTTTCTGACAGTCAACCTCAGTACTCTTTACTGTATTGAATAAAACTTTGGGAAATTTTGGAAATAATAATTGAAAAATAGTTTTTTCAGCCTTGCCACTATACTAATATTTATTTTCAACAGATAAAATACATCGGGAACTGCAGCCTATGTGAGAGTCTTACAGCAATATGTGAAGATTTATTTTTATAGAGCATCACTCTTTATCAAACAATGGCCCTTGTAAAATAGAGATTAAAAAAAGCTCAATATCCCCCATCTTTTAAATTTCATCGGAAAAAACCCACAAATACTGACTCACCTCCCAGATATGACAGCACACGTATCGCTGCCTGTCATGATGACACAGTAGCACATTAAGGCATCTTCCCTACTCTGCTTAACAGGATGAGCTGCGTGTGTTTGATCTTGACACCTAAGTACAGGCTGGCAGCACGCATGAACGGCGTCTTTCCCCTCTGAGCAAACGCTCGGCTTGTTGATTCGGGGCCCGTGTGTCTAATGGGTTGAGAGTAACAGGTGGACCTGGCGGAGTGGCGAAATGGGCCCACCTGAGCAGACCCGTCCTCCTTCCTCCTGTTACAGTATATAAGAGCACAAAGTAAGAGAGGAGAGCTAGAGACACACACACCAGGAACAAGCGGAGGAACTACCAGCACCGTTCTTTGGAAAGAGAGACGAAAAGGTGAGCCGGGTTTTGTTTGCAATGGTGAAACCACTTTAGCTTTGGGATCCAATATGCAAACTCTTTCTTTATGTGTGTGTGTGTGTGTGTGCTGTTCTGTGGTGTAGGTCATAACCATGAAAAGCATCCACTCCCTGGCTGGTATCCTTCTGGTCCTCGGCTTTGTCCAGAGCAGCTGGCAGGTTCCTCTGCAGGAAGCTGATGACAGCTCACGGTACAGAAATCCCTTTGAAACAGATGAGGTTTTGTTTTAGTCTCAGGACCACAGGTTGTCGCTACTTTTCTTTGCGTTAAAACGTCCTACCTATTTCCTGCAGAAATAGAAGAAACCGTGTTCAAATCTGACTGACTCACAATTAAAATTGTGGTTTTATTTTTGATTGCATCCCAAATAGCAACATTCATAAGATAGCCTGAGTGATGTGACCCGTATGAGATCCCAAAGAGGCCAAATCATTTGTAAACTCAAACTTGGCTCTCCATGCTGCGCTGTAGCTTCGAGGCAGACGAGACGTTAGCGGAGGAGGCGAGGGAGCTGTCGAACACCAAGAGACATTCGGAGGGGACCTTCTCAAACGACTACAGCAAATACCTGGAGGACAGGAAGGCGCAGGACTTCGTTCGGTGGCTGATGAACAACAAGAGGAGCGGGTCAGTGTGGGATCCGTTCCAAAAATCACCAGGAGAATTTGTATTGTGAAAAGATTTGACTTGTTAAGCCAATGAAACGTTGAGATAACTCTTAGGGGTCGTGAGATGATTAACGGGAGAGTAAAGAAGAAGAACGGTTCTGCGATACACAAATATACATTCTTTTTGTTTTTACTTTTCCCGAATATTTTGTTTTATACGTTTGTTTTTTTATGTCAAAACTTAATCAGAAGAGTAACTAGGTGTGCGCAGATAAATGTAGTGGAGTAAAAAGTACAATATGACCCTCGAAAGTGTAGTAGAGTAGTGTAAAGTAGCATAAAATTGATATATTTCAGTGAAATATCTTCAAATTGTATTTATTACATTACTTGAGTAAGTCTACTTAGTTACTTTTCACCACTGGATAACAGGGATGTGTCCCCCTGACAGCCTTTTAAAATAATATTCAGCATTTCCCTCACTGAGTGTCTCTGTGTGTCCGCAGTGCTGAAGAAAAGCGCCACGCGGATGGGACCTTCACCAGCGACGTGAGCTCGTACCTCAATGACCAGGCCATCAAAGATTTTGTCGCCAAACTCAAGTCCGGAAAAGTCAGAAGAGAGTAGGCTGACCGACCCTCCCTCCCTCTCCTCCTCCTACAGTACCTAAAAACCCGACCGGCCTGTGTCTGATTCCACTGTGACGAGAGAGACAGAGACAAAAGAGCTAATCAACTGCTTCTTGTGCCTCCTTTTCCTTTTCTTTTGTTTTTTTCCCCTTCATGTTCCTTGTGGTTGTCCTCAAATAAATCACATGAACTTCTTGCACTGTGTTGATTGATGTGTTACAACCCGTGTGTTGATTGATTGAAATGATTCGTTTTGAAGCAAACAAAACAACAACTGTGCAAGCGGACGCTGAACGAATCACGGGACGATCAGAGCGACACAATGTATTCACTTCTCGGGAAAAATGACGAGACAAATTTCTTGGTGAAAACTGCACCGGGGGCCAAATACAACAGTTGGACTGGCGGGATTTTCCACGTTGCGGGGCCGCCGGCCCTTATTGGCCAGTGTTTACATTGTGTGCCTGTGTACATACTCAGATCTGAAACGGACAGGCGGGGCGAAGCGTTCAGCAGGAGGCATGTAGATGGGAGCTTCACCAGTGATGTGAACAAAGTGCTGGACTCCATGGCTGCCAAGGAATATTTACTCTGGGTCATGACCTCCAAGCCGTCAGGGGAGAGGTAAAAACCCAGTTGCACGGCTGAGCCGATAACCGCTAGAAATGCTAGACTCGTGATTGTGGTTTTTCTCTCTTTTGCAGTAAGAAAAGACAAGCGGACCAATGAGACGCTCCTCAAGGACTCCCCTCTGTGCGCTCCGCACAAAGCCATAAACAGGAGGAATAGAAAGCCATACCGCTTTGCATGTTGTGACGTCAACACTATATTTAAATTTGTAAGTCTTCTTTTTTTTAACTCACCGTTCGTGACGCAAAGATACAAAAAAAAAAAAACGACGACTCTTCCACGGTGCACCAGAGAGAAGACAAGGAATCAAGGGCACATTTTTTTCTACAAATTTAAATTATTTTCTATATTTATATAAGAACACAAAAAGTGAAATCTCAGGTAGGCCTATAGAAAAAACGTGTAGCGTAGTTCATTGATTATTCATCCGCTCTGCAAAATAAAGTTTTTCATTGTGCGTTTGTGGGATTATTTTTAGATGGATATTATAATCACTTTTCAATAATTGTGGCTCCCAGATATTGGTTCCTACTGAAGATTTTTTTAAACAGCTCACAGGTACTGTATATCAGTTCATTTAAGTATGTTTTCAACATTTTTTTATGTCTTAAGACAATAGAAAGACACCACAGTGACCTTTGACTACAAAGTCCGAGTGGACATTTGTGACAGATTGGAAGAGGTTTCCCCCTGGGTGTTATGTAAAACCTAGTCTGTTCTAGTCTTCCACATCTCGTGGCCACACAACACAATTCAAAACAGGCCTTCAGGAAGTGCAAACTTCACAGACTCCTCCCACTATTTCTGGGAAAAAAGGATAGTGGTCTCTCTCTGGGAGCATCGATGGCAGCATCATGGGTCAGAGATACAGTCGTGACCTTCTGCCATAAGGCTGGATGAGCTTCAGCAACCCCTCATCTCCAGTGGAGCCAAAGACGTGGAGCTCCTCCTGAGGTCAGAGGTCGAAACAAGGAAGCATTGAATAGATTAACTCAGGGGCAAAACAGGATGGTGCAATGTTATGTACATATATATATATATATATATAAATATATAGCAGTACAGTGAGAATATGTCTCACTAGCTGACCTCTGACCTCCCTGTGTACAAGTAAAAGGATCAATAAAGTACCACATCATCTTAGCAGGGCTTGTTTAAGATCTTTATTTATGCTCTCACTCACCCACACTCTCGTTCTCATGAAACAAATCAGAAAGCATACAGCTATCACTACCAAATTTAAGGCAGAATTTTGCACAGAAGTGGTCAAAACATTTGATATTGATATAATTCTGACCCCACTTATTAGTTTCTCTACTCAACTAAGAACCATCACTTAGACAACGGGAAAAAGAACATCTACGACAAAAGCCTGCCTTCAACACTGACTTCATGTTAGTAATATATTAGTAACATTTTACATGAATAAAATATACTATGTATTGTACATTGTTAAGACTCTTTACCGTTTATTACATGTTGCCCTTCCCAGAAAAAAGGTAGCCTATTATTGCATCTTTAGAAGTAACCATTGGTCCTGCTGCAGCGAGACAGTCAAGTCTGTTCCCCCGTCATGCAGGTCTTTTTAAAACAATTAGCTTCAGATGCTAACACAATGAGGGTCATTTGGATAGGAGATCACATGTCCATGGATGACACTTACTGACGCGATGACAGATTGATGCAGGTGGAAAACATAGAAGAGGTTTCTGTGTGGTCACCCTAGTTCAGCGTTGGCAAACGGGATGGGTTTTTAAAAAGCCAAGGCCGAGAAGCTAGAAGTACTGAAAATTGCCGACCTATTCTGAAATTGCTAGCTTGAAAATGTTTCCCAATAAGCTGTATGCTGCCCACAGAGGAATAGTGTATTTAGGTTAATATGCTTATTGTCGTGAGTTTAGATGAGAAGACGAAAACCCCTCTCGTGTCCAAATGCTAAAAATGAAGCTATCGCTAGCTCCCGGCCAAGAAACGGCAAAACAAAAACATGGCGTTTTCACATATCGCCTTTTTTGTACAGATTAAAACACAAGACAAAAAGTAAATTATGAGATTCTGGGGGATTTTGTTACATTTTGGGCAGAGCCAGCCGAGCTGTTTCACCGGTTTCATTCTTTATGCTAAGCTAACCTAGCCGCCTGCTAGCTCTAGCTTCATATTTTAGCGTACAGACATGAGAGAGGTATCGATCTTCTCGTCTAACAGAAAACTAATAAGTGTATTTCCCAGAATGTCAAACTATTCCTTTAACTGGTTTTTGGGGGAATGCTTGACTGGAGGAGAGACTTATGTTTGTAAAATAGCCATAGAGAGGACCCTGGAGTGATATGAGCAATCACTGTCACAAAAACATTTAGATATACAGAATATAGAAAATGTATATTTAATACTTTCAAAAAATTACTACTAGATTCGCTATATATCCAACTCTTTTGGGTACCAGTGAAATAGATTAGTATTGGCAAATATCTACTTTTTAGGTTTTCTATAGTGAGGTGCATCAAAGTCAATAGCGGCATTAAATGATGCACACAAATTCCACACATTTGCAGTTTTCTGTGGCAGGTTTCTTAAAGGACAACTCGTTGTTGTTGGAAAAATATAAAAACATACAAAATACAAATAAACTAGATTTAAAAATTGTTTAAAATTGGTACTTAATTGGCCCATTGAAACAGCAGTTACTGTAAGTGTCGTATAATTCCGGCTTCCTTCTGTTGCTGGTATCACCAAACACTGATATACATAGAAAAAGAACACAAAAGTGTCTCAGTTCCTCATGTTAATACTGTTTCTAACAACTTCTTTGTTTTACATAACTTGCACACAGACTTACATGACAAAAACACAGTGTAGCACAGTACAAAGGTGGTTGATTGTGGCACGGTAAAGTTTTTTTTTGTGTTTTTTGATTTACTCATCGACAGCACGGTGACACCGTCAGTACATGTCATCACAAACTTGTCTCCCTGTCCAAGCTCTTGTCATGCCTCCGCCGCTTGTGTCGCTTTTCGCCGCCACAACTGCACAGGGGAAAAAAAGAAGAAACGAAACCAAGCAAAATACTAAATAGAGAAAATGTATGTTCAGAAAGTGAAGTGCAGAGTGCAAATGCTTTGTCAACAGGCGGACAGTTAATCAATCAATCCAGATCACACAGCATGCAAACAGGTATCTCTAAGCTTAAAGGGGCAGTTCACCCCAAAATCAAAAATGTGTCCTACCTTTAGTGCTATCTATCAATCTAGACTGTTTTTGGTGTGAGTGTTGGATATCGGCCGTAGGGCTGTCTGCCTTTTCTCCAGTAAGAGACGTTGCTGTTGAGTTTTTTTCGAATGTTTTTTTTGTTATTGCTTTGTGATATAGTTCCATTATATTGGTGAGAAGTGGTTTTATCTCCAACACTCGGCAACTCACACCAAGCCAATATAGATTGATCAACTCTACTATAGGTGAGAGGAGAGGTGTATTTTTAGTTTTGGGGTGAACTGTCCCTTTAATAGCAGTTTGCTCTACCACTTCAATATCTTGTGACATTGAAATATACAATTGGTCTACAGCTCAGTGACACATAGAGCTACTTATTTCACTACTTTTACAACATGCGAAGGACATCATTAAATGTGTCATTGACGTAACATTCACATGCCATGCTGCGTTGTCAATCCACCAACATTCATTTGATTTATCTCTCCATTTATTCAGTGATCTTCTCCCAACATCGAATCGTGACGTACAGCACAGACCTACACCGCTTTCATCATGCAACAAATAGCAGTAAACAGAAGACACAGGACAAGACTCTCCATGCTGACAGCGACTGGGAACAACTCACCTTTGGGATGTCAGCTTCTGGGAGGTTAGGATGGGGAGCTATGGGTTGGAATGGAATAAGAGAGGCAGGCGGGAGACACTATGTTAGTCTACTCGGTGGGACATCTGTGAGGGCAGGGCTGCTCTTAGATAAACCATTTTTATCTAAACACACTAGCTCCTCAGTTTCCTGGAAAAATAAGAAGTAAATGTTCCGTAACATTTCAATGATAAACACCTGCCACTGCGTGCTCTTACACCCAAAGACACAATTATAACCTTTTTCTGACCCTTTAAAAATACATTGGAATCCTGTCGTCGGTATCATCAGAGACACTGATCTAGACACGTGAGAGTAATGTGAATAAGGAGGCTAACCTTTTAGCGCTTGGCTCCTTCTTCGTGCTCTCACCGGGGCTGATGCTCTTCCACACACCCCCGAAAGATCCTTTAGACATCTCGTCAGTGATGTTCACTGTGGCCGGGTCACACCTTCAAAATCACACGCAGAGGGACAACAATGATTATTCCACTTTGCATGGGAAGTTGCAAACCCTAACCCTAACCCCAAGGCTGATGACTACAGGAGCCGCTTGCATCAAACTACCCGTTGTGGGAACTCTTGAACATTTTGGGAAATAAGTGTATCCACTTTCTTGCAGAGAGTTAGAGAAGAAGAGTGATATCACTTTCATGTCTTAAAATGAAGCCAGAGCCAGAAGACTGTTAGCTTAGCTTAGCATAAAGACAGGAAACGGGTAAACAGCTAGCCTGGCTCTGTACAATTTGTACATTAGCCGTTAACGTGAATATTTCACTGCTGACGAAATTGCTTTTGAAGGACGCTTGGGCATCTGATTAAAGATCAAAATGACTTACTTGTAATGTCCCTCCAGTGGCACTTGTACAATGCCTTCTTCCTCTACAATAATACTGTGCTCCTCCTGGAGAAAGAGACAAAAGAGAACATCTGAACCACTGCTTAAATAGCAGCTTTGCCACCACAATAGTGGAAACTTTAAGTCCTCAGAATGGTGGTCTATTACTGCACCTCTTCTTCAGCATCTTCCAGTTTCTTCTTCTTCCACTCTGGCATCAGGTCGTCCAGCCAGCTCAGTTCCCTCTTGGTGAAGATTAAGTCCAGCAGCTTACGAATGAACACCAGGGCCAAGACCTGACACAGCACACACAGTTATCAACCAATCATACGCGTTAAACACTAAGTACTTCACAAGAAAATGCAACCCGGTCACCATCATGGGGAAGACGATGGCGGCCTTGGAGGTCTTGATGACCCAGAGCAGGACCAAGCAGCTGAGCTGGACGATGGTAAAGAGGTGCACCTTCCTCAGCGGAACGTGACGAAGGTAGATGAAGTCCGGCTGATGTTTAGCCGGCATGCTGAACAGCCTCAGGCGGTCAAAGAACTGCACAGATACGAACAATTCAAGAATTCCTCCTGCATCTTTTCTCCATTAACTCTTCTAATAAAAATAACAGCAGGCAGTCATCTGAGCTCACCTGGATGCCTCTGAGTGAGGAAGCCCCCATGTACAGAAAGACTCCGTACAGCACAGGCATGGGGATAAACTGGAGACACACAGACACATATACAAATATATAAATGAACAAAAAGAGTTAAAATGACTGCGTGGGTGTATATTTTGCCGGTCATCCCCTGACCTTCAGCACGGAGGTCATGAAGACGGAGCAGCCCATCAGGGTGAAGATCATGAGGCCGGTGAAGCGCTGCTCTCGGATGCCCAGGAACTTGGGCTGCTCGCCGGGGGCCGAGCACTCCGACTCCAGCTTCAGGCTGTTCACGTGGGAGATGGAGAGCACCGTGGCCGCCACGAACCACGGCAGGCCCATCACCGAGCACACGCCCAGCATCACCCCCACCACGAACAGGTCCAGGTGGTAGCCGCAGCCTTTCTGCAGGGCGCCGGACAAGGAGAGTGGGGCTTAGATACAGCAGAGTTTGGTTATTTTTGTGACATTGTGATTTGAAATGAAGGTCTTGAAACACCTTTAGTTTGTGCTCCTTCCTGTTGATGATGACGGCCGTGATCTGCTGGTCCATGAAGATGAGGATGGTGCAGAGCAGAGCGGGGAGGAAGGTGATGATGGTGGTCCACCAGGGGTTGGGCCCCACAGGGTTTATGAGCCAGCCACGATCGTCCCTGGTTGGCTGGGGAGAGAGAAAGGAAAGGCAGAAATGAGCTTGTGAGCTAAGACTTCCGACAAACAACTTAAATGGCTTTGACTTAAATTCTTCAAATACTTCTTTGAGCAACAGGAAAGAAACTTAAAGTCCTGCACACAGCGGCTCTCATGTGGACTTACTTTGAACTTGCTGGGGACCTGCAATTTAGGTGAGGGGATCCCCAAGGCGTAATCGACTAAAACCATAGTCAGGATGGTGATGAAGACAGCGAAGTCACTGATGATGGCCCGCACCTGGAGGGAACACAGACACACTCTCTTTTTCATGTCATGGGTGCCGAAAAGAGTTCAGTGAAGGATACACCTGTGCATCCTCCCTCGTAGCTCTTCCAGCCAGCCTCCTCTTTTTCTCGAGATGCATTTTAGGAATTGAGCAATCCTTCCAGATGGCGCACCGACATCAATTTGCAGGACGGAGCGACGAGGAGGCACAATATAGTGAAATAAATAAAGTGCATTCAATGTCTGACAAAGACCTCTGTTGAATTGAAATATTCCTCATTTAAACTTTATTTACTGGGAATTATCAGAAAAGAAACCGTTGCTGATCTTTTGTCTGACTTTTGACATCTAAATATTGCAACCACAGCCAGACTACACTGTAGCATTCATCACCACAAGGTGGCGCTGGTAAACTACAGATCATTGTGCCAGCATCACGCCACACATTCGCTCATGCGTGTCATCCCAATGATAAATCATAGAAATTGCACACATAGAGCGTAGAGCGGCCACACGGGCTGAAGGATTTTTGCTGCGACGTGAAACGTCCAATAGATGGCAGCATAAACTAACGCGACAGGAGACAGAAGCAGAGCCATGTGAACAAACTGCAGTCCCATAACAGATGAAGTAAATGGAAGACTGTACAACCAAACAGGAAGCCTAAAAGAGTGTGTACTTCACAAGTGATACAGAGATTTAAAAAGAGAATGGTAATCTAAATCCTCTGTAAGTGTAACTCACACTGAATCTAAAAATATGTGTATTACGTGTGTTCACATTTGAGTTATTGTTCCAAGAAGGAACTTATGAAGACAATGGGTCCCTGGGCACAGACATGCAAAGGGCCCCCATTCGAAGAGCCACATTTTTGGTCGTTTTTGCACGTCTTTGTTGACGTTTCACGTTTCGTAGTGGTCCTTTTGTGTCTCTTTTTGATTGTTTTGCATCTCTTTGTGGTCATTTTGTCTCTTTGTAGTCGTTTTTTGTTTCTCTTTCTCTACGTACCTTAGTGGGGAAGTAGCGGCTCGTCTTGAACTCCTTGAGGAAGGCGGACATGAAGACGGTGGAGAAGAAGAGGACGACGCACCAGAAGAGGACGTCGGGGACGTAAGGGCCGTGGGGGCCGCAGGCGCTGCCATCGAACTCCCCGTGAAACATCTCGCACTCCTACTGGCACCACAGGACACGGTGATGATGATGATGATGATGATGATGATGAAGATGGTGGTAATAATAATTAGGTTGGTGATAATAAAAATGATTAGAATGTCAGTGGAAATAATGGCGATGATGGATGTCGGTGTAAGCGGTCTGAACAATCTGGTACGTTCATCTTTGATTTATTCAGCGCTCTATGCTTTAAATATCTAAATAGCGTGATTCATCTATTTCCATACAATCCCAGTGGTCTCCCGTGCCTATCTAACTATTTGCAGCCATTCAAGCGTATGTGGGAGTGTCGCCACTGGCACGACTTATTTGTGTCTGACTGCGAGAGAATCCACTCTTCACACTTCATCTCCATGCTCATTCTGCACGGCTAAACCCTGTGAAATGCTCTGCCCACGCGTTCCTAATCCCCGCCTAGACTTATGACGCTTAATGATGAAGCAAAGTGTGAGAGACACGACACGGTGCCAGAGACTGCAAGAAATATTCCCAACTAATCTTGATCCTGTGTTAATTGAAGGCTGGGTTTAGAATTACCGTCTAGATCTTCTTTGGATAATTTAACCATGACTAGTTGATGAACGCAAGATCGAAGCATCTCAAGGCCTTAGATGACCCTTATTGAAATGCAACGTATGTACAGCTGTTTCTCTCCAAATGTCAAGGGTGCCTTACCTTGACCTCCAGCATGGTCCAGTTGACCTGGGAGGCTGTGATGTTCTTCTCCTCCCAGAACCGCAAGGTCTCGTTGCTGGGGTTCATGGGCTCCACACATGCACACCTGAGGTGGATATTCTTCAGTTAGTTTTCTTAAATACTTATAAGAGGACAAGGTGAATATACTAATAGCTAAATAATAATACATTCATTCATGAAGACACATTTATGACACAAACAAAAAAGCATCACTTCTGGATTTGAAAAGAGCACTTACGAGTACTGTGTGAGCTTCTGAAGGTCGTTGTTTTTATTGATGGGGTAGTGCACCCCCAGGTGGAGCAGCTTCTCCAGGGCCTCATAGATGAAGATGATGCAGATCAGCGCAGCGAAAGCTTCCTCGGTGAAGCGTGTGATGTAACAGACGAGCGAGCTGGCGTCCGTGGCCACCAGCAGTAGACACAAGAAGGCCGTCCACAGGCCGATACAGGCCCTCAGGGAGAGGTAGGAGAGGCCGTACTCCCTGAGAGAGACGGGACACACGCATACACGGGAGTGAGGGGGAGAAGCCATTAGATATGGCATCCCCACTCACTTACTGGAGAAAAAAGAGAGAGAAAAGACAACCTACTTGCAGAACTTGAAGAGGATTTTCTCAAAGACAAGAACAGGCCCAGTGCTGCCCAGGATGGTGAGGGGCTGACCGGCAAAGATAGAGTAGGCTATTCCAGTCATGGAAGCCCCAAACAGGGACTCGATAGCACTCTGGGAACACAGGAAAACACATCGTTACTTCTCTGACCTGAGGCTGATGGGTATGTCGTTAGATTTGCAGGTATTTGTTCATAAACCAAAGTATCATAAACCAAATATGGCAATTCATCCAGTAGTTTTTAGACATTTCACTCAAAACAAACACAAATATCAACCTTATGGTGACGCTTAATCGGGTCAGGGACCATTGCCGTATTAGGATTCGTCCTCTGGGGACCACGAACGTCTGTATGAAATGTAGTGGCAATCCATCTAATAGTTGCTGAGATATTTCAATCTGGACCAAAGTGGTGAAACGACCAAGCAACTGACGGACATTGTCGTCCCTTAAGCCTCACCGCTAGCATGGAATGAAAAAAAAAAACATGGCGCAAGCTTATTGTACCATATCAGCTGGTGATGAAAAAGAGGTTTATGGAGATTAGAGGAGCAACATCAGAAATTCAAGGGAGGCTGTGCGTTCGCTTCACTCAGAAACTAGTTTCAAGGTGCCTTTGAGCGAGACGCGGCAACCGTTTGATGCTGTTGAACAAGAGCTCGTGTTCTGAGTCACCTCCTCCCCAGATGCTACGGCTATCTATTTAAAATAGAAGAAAACTTCTGACTTTGGTTGTTTCAAAAGTCTCTTCTCATGAATATGACGTCAATGACTGTACAAGGACGGGGTGATGAAGTTCATGACAAAGACATCAGTTACAGACAAACGACGTGCGCTCATGTCTCGGGAGCAGTAAAGATGTCGCCTCTTACCACTCGTCCCTCTGTGGCCTCACCCAGGAGTCCTCCGAAGGTGATGACCGGCGACATGCAGGCGCAGTAGAGGAAGAGGAACGAGGCCAGACACTGCAGGCTGATGGCGTCTGTGAAGTCGGAAATGTAGTGAGGAGCCTTTCGCTTGATGTCCATGAAGAAGCCGCCGAATAACCTGTGGTGAAAAGCGGATTTCATGAAAGAATCGCCCGCAAAAGTATAGTACACGTGTGCTATTCTGGGACCACAAACGGCATCTGTGAACAAAACCATTGCAGCGCAGCGTATCGATCTAACTTACTCAACAAAGCTTTGTGCTTTTATCAATGTAAGTGTGTGCACATTTTGTCGACTCATGCTTCCATCCGAGTGACTCTCAGCCGGAGCGAGCAGGCTTTCTCCGCTGCAGCCAGCCGGGGCCGCGGTGAGCCAGCCGGAGGCGGTTGCTATGGCAACAGCGGGTGGGACGTTGTGCTTATTTCGGTCTGAGACACCGATGCCGAGTCCCGGGAGGAGGTGGTGGTGGTTGATAACTGAGACTGAGCTTCTGTACTGCAGCATGCGACAGCATCCACAAGGTGGAGGTGGAGCTGGTTTGATCTACAGTTAGATAGTTTAGTCCAGTGGTCGCCAACCTAGGGCTGGGGGCCCTCTCAAGGGGCACAAGATGAATCTTTGGGGTCATGACACTTTCTCCAATCATTGCTTTTCTTTTAAATTTGGGATAATTTAGCCTCATTGGGCCTCGAAACAGTTACTTCTGCTGTCAGATGAATTTAATGGGGATGAAATAAAAATAAAAACAGTTTTTAAGTTAAGTGCTTGATGAGTAAACGAGGCAAAAATAATGCTAAAAATGCTAATAAAATGTTGCAATGTGATTTTCTGTGTGGGATGTAGTGTGCTGGAGTATCTAAACTCGTCATTAATTGAAAGTCAACCAACAGGTCTTTGTGGAGTTGAAGTGTGATGAATGATAATGGGCCAGCAGGGTAGTCTGCCTCTTCAGAAAGGCTAAATTTATAGTTTGGGGACAGCGAGAGAGCTAACAGGCGACAGGGAGACAGGCACAACGACGAGCACTTACCTCCCGGTGCGCTGCAGCTCAGGGCCGCCGTGCCCTCCGTGTTCCTCCGACTCTCCAAGATCTGTCACTCCGTTGGGAAGGGGGGGAATCTTCCGCTTTTCCTGTGTCGTTAAGATCACTGTCAGTAAACTGTCTGTTACTGGCCATCATCATGACAATAATAAAGCGTCTGAGTCAGGCATTTGTCTTATCCATGAATTGTGCACAGCGGTATCTCATTAATTCACCACATGAGTCTAATGAAAAAGGGGGAAAGACTTTTTGTCATTATCTGGAGCAACTTTCTGATCGGTAACTCTCCCAAACAAGATGGCGGGTTTTCAAAGTAGACCGAGATAACTAATGGAGGAAAAATAGAGAATGTTTTGGAGAGGATCGAGAGCAGAGCCCTGGGGAGCGGCATCAAAGCACAGAGTACAACGCAGTCGAGATTAGAGGAGAGCGCAGATGCTTCAATATCTCTCAGCAGGCAGTGTGACGCAGGGGGGTTTACGTAGACGGTTTACCTGGGACGGCACGTTTTTGGGAGGCTCTATTCTGATGGAGGGGTCCCACTCTCCGGGGGGTAACACCGTCACCTGGTCCAGAAACTCATCGATGCCCGCCACCAGGTCATTCCTGTCTTTGGCCTTGTAAGCGACGTCATGGAAAATCTGTGGAGCAGATGACAGGAGTTATTTTCACAGAGTACGTTTCAATGGATTTACAGAAAGTCATATACCAATACCACAAAATGTTTATCCAGCAGAGGATTATTACTATCTGCATACATAACTTTAACACAACAATGCGAAATAGCCTGTTCAGCATTCCATTATTTTTATGGAACACAGAATACGATTCTTGTTGGCTGAAAAACAGATCAGAGTGATGGGTACAGTTCATTCCCAAATATGATGAAGTAGGCTGACATCCATACACTTCTATTTTCATACATCTCAGAGGAAAAAGGGCAACATCTGGCTCTGCTGATGTTCAGTAACATCAGCTCATTGCTGCACTGTTGGAAATCCTGTCACTGTTTTCATGTCTGCTCATCCCCAAAGGCTTCTCCGGCTTTTAACAGAGGTCAAAGGTCGGGTCAGTTACAGAAACGTAGCGTTAAAAGGTGCACTAGGTTATGGAGACGGTAAACGCATCCTGGTACCGTTATTTATTAATTACGACAGTTTGGCAGAGCTCAAGAACTACAGCTACATTTAGTAGAGCTTTTAAAAAATATTTATTGAAGATTATTACGTTTCCTCAGCTTTTAGCCTTCAAGTCTCAAGTAAGTTGCATCTCACAGTACAAGTCCTCATTTTTGTGATATTTACATTGTTGTATTGCTTCTTTTACTGGAAAAAAAGACCGGACTACGTCCTCCACCCCTGCCAGCATCATCATACAGCCAGAATTTGAACCTTAATAATGTTGTACTTAGGCCTCACCTCATCTGTCATCAGGGTAGCAATAGACCGGCCAATTTCATGATACTGTGGACCTTTTCCCAGAGGGCCAAGCAGGATGAAAAGAAACCTGTGTAACACAAAGGAAAGCAGGTTTGAATAAAAGTCAAATCCATTTCTAATGAAGCATTGAGAGGATTATCAGCTTATCTATCCAGATTTGAAACAGTTGACAGAGAGAAAGAGATGCAGAGGCAAGCAGGGGGCTTTTCCAGCAGTTTGTGTATGACCTGGTGGTGATGGGAACCTCAGCCAGGCCATTGAGCAGCACAGCAGGAGCCAGGCGGACGAAGGCCACCACGGGGCGGTCTAGGAATTCCACCTCCCCTACCAGGACGTTAGACGCCTCAGCACCAGGGGGGATCTTCTTCATGAAGTGGAGGTCAATCTGTGAGACAGAGGGAAACCAAAACAGCACAAAAGATTAGTATAAATGTTCTGCTTTTAGCTAAAAGACAGGTTGAAAGTGGTTATTACAGTAAATCATCGATATCCAAAACACTGTCTGGATCTGAATCCGATGGTCCACACAACAAAAGAAAACAAGCTTTATCCTGCTAAATTCCAGTCGGTTTCCCAGGGCAAGGTGACCATTTCACACGTAACCCAACCTAGGTTAAACACACAGCACTAGTTATGTGTCCAGCTATCAGTGCCCGTAGATAAACAGCGGGACCAGCGGTGGGTCCGGTTGCTCACCTTGCTGAAGTCGACGGCGCTGTTTTCTCGGCTGACGTCCTGTTTGCCCTCACTGTTAGCCGGCTGGGACTGGGGTGAGACCGTTTGGCCTGTCGGGCAGAGCAGGAAACCAACATCATGTTAATTTTCACAGAGAATTGGCCTATCACAACACTACTTTCCCACACGAAGACAAAGGCCTTCAGTGAGTGACTAGAGGGTACGGTTACATTCTCTGAATAATATGATACAATAGTGGACCCTTTTGTTTTGGGCGCTGCACCTTTAGTGGTGGAAAGGTTCAGCCCTCGCGACAAAAGATAATATTGTACCTTGTTTCAGAGTGTACCTGGTGAGTTAGACTAATATTAATCTGAGAGATGCTCAGTGGTGCAGTGGACATAGTGATTTTATCAAGAACATAAACATTATTTCTCCAAATCAAGTGAAGTAAACTAAATGAGGTACAATCTTTAACTTCCATTAAGTGTATCAACAAATAGTGTCCCCATTTAAAATGCTTTTTTTGTTTTAGTTTTGCGGAAACAAAGTCAAAGATTGCTCCTATTAAATTTAAATCTCAAGCAGTTTGTGATGTGAATGCACCAGTTGCAGCTGTTTGAGCAAATCCCAGCACAAGGAAACGCAACAAATGGGGCTTGCTCAAAATGTCACAAGGAGTGTTGCTACTAAAACTAAAGGTGTTGTTCGACATTTAAGGAAATGCTCTTATACGCTCTCTTGCAGATAGTTAGATGAGAGGATTGACACCACTCTCAAAGCTGTTGGTTCAATATGAAGCTACAGTAAAGCCAGCAGCGGGTTAGCTTAGCTTAGCTAACTGGAAACAGCTAGCCTGGCTTTGTAACAAAATCTGGTAACAAATCCTCCTGACAGCATCTCTAAAGCTCCCCATTGGACAGAGCCAGGCTAGCTGCTTCCAGCTGTTGCGATAAGCTAAGATAACTTGGGCTGCTGCCTGTAGCTTCATATTTTAGCGTGAGAATGATATCAATCTACTTGTCTAACCCAAAATGTCGAAATATTCCTTTGAAGGAATATTTTGGGAAATTCATGTGCTCACTTGCCGTAAGTTAGATGAGAAAATCGATTCCACTTGCAAAGTGAAGTCGGTGCCAGTAGCTGGTTAGCTGAGCTTAGCATAAATACTCCAGAACATAACACCCATTGTCAAACCCCAAATAGTTTTACACTTACCTTCTTATACAAATCAAACAAACTAGACTTTAAGTGTTGACCTTATTTTATTACCCGTGGACAAAGCCTGTTTTCACCTTTTTGTGTTATGCAGTTACACCATGGATTTAAAGCAGTTAGCTACCGCTATTAGTCACTGTTATGAGTGAAGAACATGAGTCACAGATCTTCTATGGTTTCTAGTCATTGAACACATTGTTGACAATGACAAGAAGTGGAGAGCATAATCATGACAACCAGTACACTGCACATGCCCTGTTCCTGCAGAATTGCTACCACTTACTCAAAGTTGTTAAAAGTACAGAAAAGCTTCTGCATACTTAAAACCATCTACTTTTCTTTTTATTGCCTCACTTTAGAGTTTCAAAAATAGATCAGCTTAAGAAGCATCACGACTGTGAGTAGAATGCAGAGGTTTGTTCTCTCTTCTTGACCGCACATAACCCATTTCTAACCTCTCATGATGATGCTCTCCGCTTTAATAAGTTCCTTTTTATTCTATTGCTACTACTATCTCTGGGCTTTTAGCCGAGGCGCTGTGGTTGCCTGTGCAGATTTCCTGCTCTGTGTCGTCATGTGCGATGGGACAGTAGCCTTGCGCAACTGCCTGAAGAACACTAAGGCGCTTGGTGCTGGTATTGCCAAAGGGCGTGTCTGGGGTCATGTGGCCACTGGAGGACCTCAAAGGTGATGGAGGGGTGGAAAGACATGACGCGCAACACACACACCGCGGCCATGCCACACGGGAGAGGGCCTCTCTGGGTGGTGTATTGTTGGGGAGCTCGGGCAAACACTTGGGAGGTTTTACGAGTTGATAATAGAGGCCGTTTACTGGTTGAGTGAATGACACACGTGCACACACGCATGCAAAACCCAGCAGACGAGAACAAACACGTACACAAACACGGAGAAACACAAACGAGAAAGGAGAAAATGAGATATCAAACAGCAGTAAAACAGTAAGTCACAGATGGACAGACTTTGGAAAAATGCATGCAAAGGATTACAAAATGATATATAAATGGCCTATATATATTCACATACAACAACATTTAGGGTCACGGATTGGCCCATTTGCTCACCATTCTTGTCCATGGAATGAGGCTCGGACTGCTTCTTGCCAATATCAGCGAAGGAGCGTACGATAGGAATGCGGTTGGCCAGTTTCTTGTGGTTTTGGTGGTGGTGCTGTTTGAGCAGGGCCTCGCGGATCCTCTTCCTGGCATCCGGACCTACAGGGCCCGACAATTCATGCTGATCCAGAACCATGTCTGAGAAGTAAAGATACACATAGGGTGACAAACAAAAATAAGTTTCCACATTACTCTTTTAACACATTTGAATCTCACAAAGGCTACTCCTGATGTCCCTGCTTGGCGGCCAGCGATTGCTAAGCTGATTATTCCGACAAAAAAAATGACCCGCTGCTGCTGATTTAATCGCACCAAACCAGGTTAAGTTCACGCAGGACAGTATTTTTCCACAATCAGATAAACACTCTCTTTAGCTGCCCTCAAAAACCAAAGCCCAGTTTTCCTGGGTGGGCTTTTGTTCACACGTTATAATGTCAGCCTCTGCCTTATTGTGGATGTTACAATTTAGGTCTAAGTTAGCATTTGAATGTGTGGAGCCTTTTGTAAAAAGACAAAACCGACATTGTTATCGACTTGCAATGCTAAATCAGTCTTCTTTTAAGTAAATATGTGTGTTGTCTGCATAAGAATGTTAATATATTTAGTTGTTTTCAATAATCTGAGCTAGTAATTGTTGAAAAGAAGAGGCCCGAGAACGGAGCCTTGGGGAACGCCACATCATTTTTGTTTGCTCAAATGTGGCACAAAACAGATTTTAGTTTTAACCAATGAGATACACAAGACCCCAGGATATTGTCCAGCCCCAAGCGGTCACCTGCGATCTCCTCCAGCGAGTTGGCCCTCATGTCCAGCATCACGGTGCCGTTCATGATGCAGCTGCGGAGCTCGAAGAGACTGTGCAGAGACAGAGTGGCTACGTAGGGTTTACTCCACCGCTCACCACCATCCTCGACATCCTCCTCAAACTTAAGCCACCTGCACGGATTAAAAACACAACTCGGTACATACATAAAGACATCATAAATTTGACATTGACATGAGCATTTTGGTGGTTGGTAAAGAATGTATGCCGCCATAACAACCATTAAAAGCTTGCAGTCAGACACAAACAGGATCAAAATCTCAGGTGCAACAGAGGAAAAAAGGCACAGCTGGCCGGCCGCAGCGGTGTACCTGGCTGTCTCTTTCCATTCGGCGTCCTCACCCTCCCTGAGGCAGATTTCGTCCAGCTCGGTGAACAGGGCGTGGGGGATGTGCTCCTCGTCGCCATCCTCTGTCCCCAACAGAAACTGCACCCTCTGAGCTGGTGTGTCCGCTGCAGCCAGTGGGACAGGCGGAGGACAAGTGGAGATGGAGAAAGGAGGAAGGAGAGCATGCGACAAAATTTGAAAAATAAATAAAATATGATGTGCGTTTGGCGGAACTGGTTCGGAGTGAACTGAAGCTGGAGTTAGCTTCAGTGCATTTTGAAGACTTACTGTGCGAGGGGGATTCTCTTCCATCATCAGCTGTAGAGTCCCTCTCCTTAGACCTCTTCCTGTGTTTGTGTCCGTGGTGACGGTGACGTCTGTGCGACTTCCTGCCCAGGGGAACGTGAACCCCGATGTAGAGAGTGCGGTGACCTGGAGACAACATGCAGTTAGATTCTTCAGTCTGTCCTTTAAACTCAAGACTAGTTTGATCGTTCCCACCTTTTTACAATGGCATCAAACTCATGTTTTCTTTGACCTGACTTACGTCATGTAGTGTATATCCATGTCTGTACAAATGCCATGAAATTGTCATAATTAAATTAAATCCGGAGCCAGCTCACTGAAAGAAAGAACGAGAAGTAACCCTCATAATTCACACACGGTATCATGTGGCTAGGAATAACGTGGGCTTTCAGAGCTTGCAATATTGGCAATGAGAGCAATGAGATTGGGCGTGACTGAGTGAGTACACTGAAAGTCAACTATGGGAATACCAGGCAGTAGCGTGTAGTCAGTTAGAGTGGAACCAGAGAAGCAGCACTTAGCAAATGAACTGCTAGCTCCAGGCCCCGCTGTGCCTGCGCTTGAATAGGGAGCTCTTGTCCTCTCTGATGCTGAAAATCAATTTTGAAATTGGATGACTTTTACAATTAGGGAGTTTTTTTTATTTTTAATCAATATAGGCGAAATAAAGAGACTGTGATTGTGAGAGGATAGTGTACGATGTGAGCGCTCTCTCTGATGTGTGTGCATGTGCGTGCATCCACAGGGTCAGCGCGGAGATAATACGAGCTGACTTTCCCCTCCTTCATCGCGGTCGAGCCGCCGGGCCCTCGGCTCAGTAGCCGGACACGGACAAGCCTTTAGGACACCCTGTTCGCCTGCGCCATATGAGGCGCCACAGCATCCGGCATAACGCAACTCTGAGGGCAATTTGATGCTTGAGAGCTGCACACTGGGATCCATCAGAGGGCAATAAATTTGTTCCCTAATTCATCTTTTACCATGAAGAAAGCACAATGAGCGATCATAAAGGTTTATATCCGTTAATAATACATTTTGTTCTCTTGTGTCACATTGTACCAAGGTGAAATAACATTCCCAGATGACATTAATTCAACTGTAATTCAATCAAAAGCGGCATTTCCACTGGTGATTGTGGAAACTACTACCACTACCCATTGGTTTGTGGACTGCCGTTTTGAAGCCTCGAGTTTGCCGTCGCCATCTTGGATTATAGCCGTTGTCATGTTGTTTTTTTCCGCAACCAATGAACGGAAGTTACCATATTTGGAATGCGGAGGAGTGACGTAGAGACGCCGTATACGGCTCTGGTAGTGACCTGTCAATCACAGTAAGCCCGCCCTAAAGCATCCCCTGCTTTATGGTCTGTTTGACTCTAAATGGACCATAATGTACTAAATGAACATCATGCTGTATTGAAGAAGACTTGAAACTAGAGATTGAGACCATAAACTCATGTTTACAATGTTTACTGAGGTAATAAATCAAGAGAGAAGTAGAGTCATTTTCTCATAGACTTCTATACAACCAGAGGAGTCGCCCCTGATGGACACTAGAGAGAATGCAAGTTTTAAGACATTTCCGACATCTTTTTTAAGGATATCGGTTTTATTTAGTTTCAGGTAACAACAACAGTTTCAGTCTTCGTTTACTGTACGGAAATAACCCTGTGAAGAAGCTCTGACTTCATAGTGTTCCTCCACCAAACCTAAGCCCTTGAATCTTATCTATTAAAACCGTTGGGGAACCCCTTCTGCTTTCAAAGTTAAATCCTAGCTAAAGTTAAGCCATTTATGCAGGTTCAGAAATAAATGTCCTTATTCTGTTTATTATTGCCAGACCCACTGTTTCGTTTAGTCTGAGGGGAAAACATCCCGCACGAACGCCTTAAAGTTTCACTTGCTTTGCAGACATGACTAATCACATCATAGCGTACAAATCAGATTCAAGCAATGCACAGTCGTTAAATGAATCACCTACAGTAAGAGCACACTGACATCCCAGCATTTGAAAAGAGACACTCACTCAATGCCTTCCTCCAACAGGATTTCAGGACAGAGGTAAAGTGAGGTGTGTCAGAGAACGTTAACGGGAAAACTAACTGTATGTCACGACGTGTTTGCAGTTTGAGTTTATTTGACTCTGTCAGCATGTCGTCCGAAGGCGCATTCATCCAGAGCAAATCGCTGTTAGCATTGTGTGAATTATGTATGTCAGAAGCAGAGGAAAGACTGACTTTGCACATAAAGCAAATGTCATAATAAAATGCACATTTCAGCAGTCAGAAACAACACGGTATAAGAGGAAATCATGAGAACGGAGCACTAAAGCTTTAAGGTTCATGAGTCAAGACTCATGAGTGGAGGACATAAATAGCTTGCGTCCTCTAGGCCTGAACTACTGCTGATGTCAAACAATGAATTGCCTCTACGTGGCTCTCAACATGGTGACGGCTGAGTCGGACGACCAGCAGCTAACGGTGCAAACAACGGCAATAGTGCTGACAGAACTAACAGTGTTTGACAGGACAGTGTTGTATCAGTGTATCAGTCATTTTCCAATATCAACAAATCCTTTGAAAAGGCCAAAATCGATAATGTGTTAGTGTGTATTTCAATACTTCCAGATGTGAGAGTATATGAGAATGAGGACGCAGGTGAGTGTTGGGGCTGAGAGGTATCAGTGAGATAACTTCAGAGGATCCGCGTCTCCTCCTGTGTGCTGCTGACGCACAGCATCAGACAGAGAGCGAGTCATTGCGGGCAACCATCATCCGAGGATGAGGGACCTTGAGATGAAAGCACCGTCTCATCGGCAGCATCAGAATCAAAGGGTGACATGAAAGAAGCAAGGATGCGAACCTTGATGCAGTTCACCTGGTGTCATTATGTGATAACAAAGCGTTTCTAAAAGTCATATTTTCTCATTCATATAGACTTCAAAATGTAAGAATCCCCAAAATCTAGTTCAGTAAACTCTAGACTGTTTGTAATCAGTTTACGTTCTAGATTTGAGAGGAATTCTGTTAATTATCCAGCCAAGTAAAACACTCAGTAAACCTGTTTTTTGTAAGAGACTCTGTCAATTCAGGATGCTGTTGCTGCAGAAATTGGCCTCTCCGTGTCTTTTACGATGGACGAAAGGCTGACGCAAACACACGAGCAGAGAATAAAGCCCTCGCTCTTTGATGCTGCAGGACTCGCATCAAAACCTAGTATCCATTTGCAATGATTTGGACAGGTGGACAGACAGGTTTTCTGCCATTAGTAAGCTCTGCTGTCAGTAATTCTGCTATGTAAGACAAGTTTACAGCTATAAAACTCTGCTATTGCTTTACTGGAAATATATTGTAAAATCCCATCAATTAAGCTCGACTACAAAGGGAAAGAAAATAAACCTCCAGACGACAAAACGGGGCCAAGGATACAGAGAATGTGTGTTTGACTTGCAATCAGTCACTTGCAAGTCCCTTAACTTTATGGAAATGCAGTGATAAAGTTCCTATTTTACTTTTATCGTCACCACTAAAACATTTATTTTTCATTTTATATGATAATGATCACTTGTGGGTGTTACCTTCTAGCTCTTCCTTCTCAAAGTTGGTGTTGAGCATGGAGCGCGTGCCCCCGCGGTCCACCACTGCCTCCTCATCGGCTCTCTGAAAGGGACACACACACACACACACGAGGAGCATGAATAGTTAGCGTGTCACACCCACATTTTATAATATTATACTCATATCACATTCACACACACACATGCAAAAAGAAGAATATGACGCGCAGTAAGGTGAACGTCAGCTGACACATGACACCACTTAATCGGCGTTAATAATTAATGTGAGTGATTTGTCACGTTCCCCAATGCCACATGAGACATGCGGTCCTTCAGAAGGAGCCTCACTGAACCAAAATCCATATTTCATCTAAATGCTCCGAGTAAGCCTATTTGGAAGATGTGTCCTGAAATGAGAACGCACACAGACTCAGCATCGCAACCATGCATCGTTGTGCGTGAGCCTTAGATCATGTAAATGTTCCCCCGCCCACACCTTCTCTGGAACTGGAGCAGCAGCAGACGCTGGATGCGTAGACAGGTGGGGGAACAAGGACCGGTGCTAATGGATGCGACATAGCTCTTCCCTGGTTTACTCCATGCTATGAATAGCTCCTGACCTTAAAAAACGAAGAAAAAGGGGACGGGTCTTTGAATGCCTGCTCTGCTTTTTAATATTTAGTGAAAGCACTGGCTTGTAATTCGTGGTGTTTTCATTTCAGGATGGTAATCTTACACTTGTAAAACCAAAAATGTTCACACAGAAACACTGCAGAGCTCAGCACGCTGTACGAATCACCACCACCATCATGAACAATTACGGTCTATAACTTTCTCCCTCCTCTCCGGACTCTGTCTCCCCCAAATCCAGGTGTGTGTGTGTGTTGTGTTCACATCATGTGTCCTCTAGACGCTGTCCATGAATTTGCCGCAAGCCCTGACTTTAGTGTTGTAACAGTTATTATTGTTATTATCATGTCTGAGTTTCTTTGTTGTCACTATTTAGCGGCACTATTATCTATCCTACTGCCATCCATAAGCCGACCCACCACTGCTGAAGCTCAAACAGGAATGGAGGAACAATAAGCTAAAACCACTAAGTTTTGGACGTTAGAAAAAAAGACCCACAGTAGGACATGTCCCTTAAGTAAGCTTAAGAGATTACTGTAAGAGAGAGTCTGCCCAAGCCAAGCTACACTGGTCTAGAGTCTGGCATCTACTTTGAGTGTAAAATTCGCTGTCTGTAGTACAGCACTTCAGACTATACATACTACTATGTCTCTTTAAGGCTGTATCTGGCCTTTGCGTAAAACTCGCCATTAGACGTGATCAAATAAAATGCTTTTTTTTGCTGCGACAAATGCCTCAAAAAAAAAAAAGTAAGTAACAGAAAATGTAAATGTCCAGCTCTACGAGCTGGAGGTGGCCGATGCTGGCCATCAGTCTCTGATTCTGGGAGATTAAGCACGAACACTGGTGGTACAACACTCAAGAGACACACACACACACGGACAACCACGTGAGAGACAAGCCGAACCATGAAAGGAGTGTGTGGACAGATGCTGAGTGCTGACACGGTGGGCTTACTGTACAGAGGGACGTTAACAGACCGAGTGCTCTCGTAGACGCGCAAACACGGGTCCAGATGAGGACTCGTCATCGAGTCCCTGCAGACAGACTTCCCTAAATGTCCTACTTTAATCTGAAATGCTTCTCGTTATGTGTTAATTTTGTCATTGCCCGTGCGTCTGCATTCCAATTCACTCCGATCTAATCCTTGTCAGACGGGCCGCTGCTCACCATCTACCGTGAGAGGAATCACATGATCAGCACTCCAGACAGAGAGGTGACAACCCGATGCCAGGGTGGCTAAAATAACGAAATGAAAGACCTGAGAAATGAGCTGCACTGGGCGACTGTCGGACCTTGCTGCAGTTAAATAAGAGGTTATTTCTAATAAGCCTGGGAGAGGACCCCAGGGAAACTCCCTCAGTGTCAGTCACACAATGCGTCTCCCTGTCCCCGAACCCATGACAACTACACACATCTAAATACAGCCAGTATGTATCAAAAAGCCCCAGCATGAGTATCTGATGGCAAGACGGCGAGTGATTACATTAGAGCCCGTTTAGTGGCTGTCGGCTGCAGCGTTCTCCTTCAATTCTGGACCAGTTTCCAGAATTGTTATCCATCATTGATTGAGCACTGGATGCCATTCAACACGTTGGACCTTTTACACAGAACAGCTATTGCACTCACCGCTGTGAGTTATATGAAAAGGTCAGAGGTCATCGCCGGCGTACAGAAGGCGTGACACCACATCACATGTAAGCTGGTTTCCAGTAACACCTTCCTACTGGACTGACCTGCTAAATAAACTGAATTTACTGCGTCTGTGTGGGTGAGAACTGCTTTGTGAGATATGTATGTCATTTGTTTGTTTTGTCTTGTAAAAGAGATCTTAATCTCAATGGGACTTCCTGAACAAATTAAACCTAAAACATTGAAATACCTTTGTTTTCTGATAAATATTGTGATGCAATGCTCCTCTCTGCTCTGTCCCGCACAAAGCTTGCTCCCTATGGGCCAGAATCTCCCGCCTCCCGCCTATCTATTTATAGACCCCGGTTTCTCTACCTCAGGATGCGGACCCCAGACCAGCCGCGAGAGTCGCATCTCTGCTCCCCAATCTGGGTTGAGATTAATCTGCCGGCCTTTACGGCGGGATAAAACCTTGTCTCTGACCGTGGGATCAGTGATGGAGGGCCCTGCGTGGCGGAGAGAATTAAATGAGCCGGTTCTCCGGTTGGCCCGCTGGTCGCTGATGAAGGCTTGGCGGGTGGGTGGGGGTGGGCTGAGCACGTGACCGAGACTCTCCAGGGGAGTCGGGATGCCGAGAGGTGGAGGAGGGGCAGACATGTGACCGGCATGATGAATAGAAACACGCTGACATAGCATGAACACACCATGTCCCCGTTCATCCTCGCACAAAGCTTCATCATAAGCCTCTTTCCTTCACTGGGTATTGATTTGCTTCTGTGTACTCCTACATGCAACAATCACATCTGCAGCAATGCAGCCTGCACGCCATCATGCATAGGGCCCACTAAGGCACACAGTCCCTCTGCAGGCAGTGGTGTGATGGGGCGGAGCCATGTGGATGAGTGAGCGCACACGGGGGGGGGGGGGCTGGGGGGGTGGAAGAGGAGCAAAAGGCTTCGGGCCCCGGACACCAAACGAGGACCAGAGGATGTTCTAATGTCACACTGTGTTAAGAGGGCGCATGTTCATGTGTGTGTGTGCATTCGTGCCGCATCATGACCTTGAAGTGCTTGACATTGGATTCTATCTGATTTCTATCTGTTGATGTGTGCAGTGTTGGTTCAAAGTCAATATCCTGCACTGACCTGGACATGCTTACAGTATAGGTGCTTAGTTTTATTCATTAATTAATCATAATGTATTAGGAGAAACACCTAGTATTAAACAATACTTTTTCAAATAAGAAGGAACATAATCTCCTTCTTAAACAATAAAACGTTCACTTTTGCCGTCACCGCCTTACTTGGTCTGGTATGACCAGTAGCTTATGGCGGCTAGTGTTAGCCAACTTTAGATAGATCCTGTACAACTGACATTAAGGAACACATTTGATGACTATATTGCTCTTGCTCCTTTGTGTGATCACGTACACGACCCCATCGCTCGGAGTACATTACATGTGATACAAGAAGGTGATTACCACCAGTGTCCCCAGGTGTCTGTGGAAGTACTGGATCTAGAGTTACATGTTTCCCACGGGTTGATATTAGTCGTCATGGTCATAAGCAAGCTGGGTCTATGCGTGTGTGGGAAAGAATGCAACAGGCACCGTTCTAGCAGCCTTGTTAATCAATCTGCACTTTAAACTTGCATTTTCAGACGGGAGCCTTCCTGATACATCCTACACTTTACCAGTTCATCCACCTGATTCCACTTTGCCGGGCTGCAACATGTGCGGTCCGTGTCCCGACCACTCTTCCTAATGAGTTTCATGCCTGACATTGTTAAACGGCGCCCAAGGAGGATCGAGTGATTGACCCGAAAAAGGGCCAACAAAAAGCCGGCGTGTCCTCGGGATCACCAGGCGGCCGACTACTGCGACTTTTGTCAACACATCTGGTGACCGCTGGTGAGCAAGAACTGATTTAACTGCATTGGCTCACATGTAGACCACCCTGTAAACCAGCGAGCGGGTGTGCAGCCCGGAGCTGCTGTCCTGATCATCAATGGGAGTCTGACTTTGTGGATTGATGCCGTTTGAATCAGTGGAGGTACTTTTAGTGACCTTCATCGGCGCTTTCATTTAAAGGAGCGCTTCACCCATTTTACACATGAAGCACAAAAACATACGAGTGGGTTTACTTTCTACACCGGCCCTTTAAATTATACATCTCTACATATGGAGGAGTAGCCTCCTCAACTGTCAGGTGAGATAACAACACATGTGAATATTGAAATTCAGCCGCACTTTCCTTTGAAGACCAACTTTGTGATCATTTGTTGGATACAAGTGAACTACAGAAAAAATACTGACTCCATGTTATGCAAAGACCAAAGACGCTGGGCATTAACTGTACAGTGATGTTATCTTTCACACGTATAAAACAACAGAGGGGATGTGTCGACACCAGATTGGTCTGAGATCTTATATTCCATTATAAATATAAATATATATATATATATATATATATATATATATATATATATATATATATAACAGACCTATCGATTCTCTCTCTCCTCTCCAGGAACCTGTGTACATTATCACGTCGCTCACAGGGAAGCACACATGTCACCTCCTTTCTCTGTTCTTCTGGGATGCTCTCCTGAGGCTCTGACAACAGCAGGGATGAAGAATGTTTCCGTTACTATACCTCCAGATCGAGGCCGCGAGGTGTACTCTGGAACGTCATGCCAGATGTAGTACGTCGCATACGGTCTCCACAGAAAGCACAGAAAAAAAGCCAAGCAGGTGGCGCTTCATACAAAATCTGTCTATTTACCGTCAATCCGAGCTAAGAGCCGGAGTGATTCTATAGCTGGTAGCTAGCTAAGAGGGGAGACGGATTACCAGCTGCTGTACGAGCCCCGCGATTGGCCGACAGCTTCTGTTGTCATGGTTCACATCCCTACAGATGGCCGTGGTTACCGTGGCAGGATCAGCATCTGCAGCATCACGGGGAAAGAACATGCTACGCACGCTGGGAACATCTCCGCATCGTCACTTCTCTCCGACCTTGTCGGACATGGTTGAGATGAGATGCTGTCCAAAAACGGCAAGTTCAAATCTGCTTGGACTTAAACCAGCAGGTAAGGAGAACTTTCTGCATGTCCTAAAAGCACAAAAACACCAGGAAGAATCGATGTAGACGTGCTCAGACGCAGACAAACCCACCGTCTCCTGGCTTTTGTTCGCCCGTTTTCCTCTCCCTCATAGATCACCAGGGTCAGTACAGCGGGTATAAGCTCCTCTCTTGCCCCAGAAATGACAGTCCCATCTGTCAGCCAAACTCCCCGGGACCTTTCGCATGCACGTAAGCACAACTGGCATCTCTCTGCAGGCACAGGAGGCAAGCCTCCCGCTGCCCATCAACTAGACACGCATTGACATTATGCAGAGCGATCGAACGCAAGCTTTTGTAGTATTTAGCAAATATTTCGTCATCTCAGCGACGGCTTACTATTTCCAATTTGACAGCAAAGTGGATGAAACGCTCGCCCTCTCGCAGCTTGAATCCTTTGAGTGCAAGATCAGAGTGACCTACCTGATTAATAAATCCTCTATTGTGGTCCACAGAGAGCATGGTGTGCCTCCTGTGAGGTCAGGGGCAGGATGCCCGCTAACTCCCCTTGTGCTTGCGGCAATGGTAAGATGAGAGGCTAAGGGCTCAGGGCCTGAGCCCCGCTCTGGACTCTTGTGATTATGTGTGAAAGTCAGAGAGAATAGCGGAGACGAAGATCAGCTGTCGGGCTGTCGGTCAAAAAACCCTCTCCTCTCTCCTCAGATGCTCTCTCCTCGGACGCTCTTCCCGTGCGGGAACATGGCAGCGACCTCACTCCGAAAAAGCCCACCAAGAAGACAACATAAATACAAAAGCCGGGAGCTCGGCACAGCTCTGACTCTGCTGCTTCCCGACTGCTTTCATCACAGGTCTGCATCAAATGTTTCCGACAAACGTCCATCCGCCAATCCCCTCCCTCCCTGGAGAGATTAGCGCTCTGACATCACGGATGCTTCTGCTCCGATGAGCCTTGTAGCTCTGTGGCTCTGTTACCTAATAGAAGCCATGGGTCACAGGGAGTCAAATAACGGCATCCTGTTCGAGGGGGCTTCACGCAGCCCCGTCGCACCTGGCATGGTCGCCACACACCTTGCAAGAAGCTAGCGATCCGGGTTGGTGTTGCAGTCTTGCTGAACACAGGTTGTGCATCTTTAAGTGCCCGTGTCTGAGCGCGTGTCTGCACGAGCTACCTGCGGCGAAGAAGCTGCTCTCCGGCTGCAGTGCATCGTCAGCAGAAAAACTGTGATCCGAGGCACGGTGTGCTAGAAACGGATCCGCAGGAACAACAGTTTCTGCGGCACCGCCTGTCAAATTACAATAACGCTGTCTTTTGTGGTTTATGGCATCAACATTATGGCATCAATATCCGACATGTGTAACACTCACAGGTGAAGACAGAAAAAAAAAAATCACACTATGATCTAATTTTCTAGATGCCTCTCTCTCCTCATCTCTCCATCTGTCTCTCACATTCTCCACCCAGCTCCGTACCTCCATGCCCGCTTCAGCTCCCTCCCCACCGACTCTGCTATAATTAACCGTGGAGGGGAGCACAGGCTCCTGGGAGAGAGGGCTTCCTGCCCGCACAGTCGGACACCACGCTCGAAAGAACAAGCCTCCGTCCGCTCTCACTGATCTCCTCCAAACCCCCACCGGCCAATCAGCCGGCCCCTTAACCGGACAGCACTGGCAGATGGCCCGCTGTTACGTCACGGTTGTAATTAGGACCGGGACACTCAAGTCCAAGTCAGATCCAGGACCAGGAGTTTAGGTCAAGAAGTGGTTCACAGGGGGAGACCAGCAAAGAGATCTATCTCTGTGACGTGGTGGGGAAGCACGGGGGGGGGGGGGTGTTCCTCACTGTTCTTATAACACCTATTTCACAATTAATGTGTGTATTTCATCAGATTATTTGAATTGACAGGCTAATAATAGAGTGGTGCAGGAATGAGTCAGCATCTTTTGCACTTCTTGTTCCCTCATCCCGAAGTTAATGTGTTTTTTTTTTTTTAATGTGTTTTTGGTGAGATGCCAGAAATAAAGTCTGTGGTTAACACGAGTATCTGAGATCTTAATGTTGGATGCTACCAAGTGGCTCCCTGAGAGTACCAAAACCTCCTCACTAGTTTATACTCGCGCTCATGCTACCGTGGGGCAGTTTGTTTACAGCCTATTGTTAGCGTTTTACTTCTGCTACAACAAGAGGTGGCAAATATCAATGCATCCTCGCAACATTTCGGAAAGCGAGAAGTCCCGAAGGGAACACATGAAGTTCTATTAAGCGGAGGATCCACCGTCGCTGCCACTGGCAGACACTTTGTGCTCGGTCTTGTCCTCAGTCTGGCTCATGGCCCGCGGTTGCGTAAGCGATATATTTTCTCACAGCAAATGACATGAATCCAAAACTCTTCTCCGCGACCGGCTCAATTGTCTCCTTACACTCACATCCAGTGAGCTCCTACAAAGAAATTGCACTTACTTCCCGTGACGTATTATTATTTATTTACCCGGCGTGTCCTCGGCCTTGCGCGGCTGCCAGATCCAGAGTGACTCGTGTGACAATTGCGATCTAAAAATACACGACATCTGCTAAACGAGCTGGCTAATGAGAGTTATGAAGCAAATACAGCTGTGCAACATTACTGTAGATTACAGATTATAGAAAACATGGATCAGCAGCAATTTGTGATCACGTCAGAGCCATCAGGAAAGTAGAGCAGCCTGGAGGAAATCTGCCGAATGGTTTTATAAAACTTTTATTTCTTGTCCCCTGTGACTGATATGTTTTATGATGCTTTATTTGAGCCACCTGATGAACGTCAGTCCAACAGTCTCTCTCTCTTTCTCACTTCTAACGACATTCACGACACACTGTGTGACCTAACCTTTCATTATTTCGGCCTTGCCCTTTACATCTCTTGACTTCTTGTTTTCTAACAAGTGTATCGAACTGAGTTACCGCTGACATAACTGAGCAAATCGATGTGACATTTGCTTTCCTCATTCCTGATGAAGAGAACGAGAGATGTACTCACCACATCTTTAGTTGCTTGGGAACTTTGCTCCTGCAAGTAATAAAAAAAGAAAAGAAATAAGTGAACGGGACAAAAGCAGGACAGGTGGACACGTTACCACCTGTTATATGCTACATGCAAGTGTCCCAAGTGAGGCGATCCTGCTGTAAAGTGATGGAGTACAATAGTATTGTGTTTGTACTTGTCATGTTTTGTACATACTAACACCTCACATACTCATACGCATCCTGGCGAAACCCGTGACAACACATTCGCTCGCTGCGCATGGCGGAGGGACATGAGCGGCAGTGCGTTACGACGAAGGGGAAGCGACCGCATCGAGCGCCCCCCCCATCCGGCTCCACTGTATACGCCGCGAGCTCCGGAAAACTAAGACCTCGTGTATAACACGTCCACAAATAGACCAAACGAGGAGAGTATTGATTCGCCTCCAGCACAAAGCAATATATTTCATCTCTTCTTCTTTTTTCTCGGCACAGTCTAACCTGAATGCTAATGAAGGCTGACCGCAGAGACGCAGGCTCTTACGTTTGAGGCCCCCCACGAAGCCTTCTTCTGCAAGTGGGCTCTGGGGGGCCTTATTATGCTTTCCCTGCCGCACTCCACCGCCAGCTCTCACTTCTGATGGATGTGGATTTAGTGCACACAATGTAAAATAATCTGATTACTTTCGATAAAACACATTTCCTTTTCTAAAAAAAAAAAGTGCGTAGCCTCACACAAAGGCCAAATGGGTTTATGAATAATACATCGCAATAATCCAGGTTAAACTCCTCGTGGAGAGATGGTGAGCGACACACCTCCCTCGGGTGAACCATCTTGGAACCCGCAGTACATGTACTCGTAAAGTAACAGCCGGCTTCATACAGGAGAATTAAAAACTGGGTCGAATGGTGGACCATATGATTTGGCTGAAAGGCGACAGACAGTGAACGGGCACAACGGGAATAACCGCAGCTCTGCCGCGTAACACCGTGCCGACCTGTACGGATGCGGCACGGGTGCCTTTTGTGCGAAGGCGTAGGCGTTCGTGGTGATAGATGCGCAGCGTATGAAGAGTGCGTATCAATTCGTGGTGCGCAACCTTCACCCCGATACACCGGTAAAAAAACAACTCCAAATGTGGGTCATTTTGAAAATAGTGAATATGAACTCACGCATTGCTGGGACGTTTCATCCCCAAACTGTTTTATTCTAAAGGGACGTCACGACCAACAGTCCGGTTCAGCTTAGATGCACGCGGTGAAAGTGAACGTAAACACAATAGCGTGTGTACTCACCGTGGGTAAGAGCGGCTCCATTTGAGCTCCTTGATCCGTGATGTCCATCTTTTTTTTTTCTCCTCGGCTCCTCGACAGGCGAGTCGTGACGCGCTGCTCCGCTTCTGCCAAACGCTGCTTGAAGACGGCTTCTTTTCTCTCTCTCTCTCTCTCTTTCTCTTTTATTATTTGTGCGTTTTCCCTTTCTCCCCCCACCACCACCTCACATTCACCGGCCGGGTTTTCTCAAATGGATGTAGCGCAGCATCCCCGTCCTGCCCCGCATCATTTACGCATGAAGGAGGGAGGCAGCGCTTCCTAATATCGCACGCGTTCGACCCCCGGACGATGAGGCGCACGCGGGTGTGTGTGTGAGAGAAGCGGAGCCACTGCGCGCGCGTTTTTTTTTTATATCCAGGAATTAATTTGCTAAAGCTATTCCTTCATAAATAGCAACACAAACAGACACACGCGGATGCAGTTTATAAACAAGGGTCGCCTCTTCAATTACAATTATTTTAACAGGGGCAATTGTGGATTCATCCATAGTGTATCTCCATTATCTAATTCTCTTATACGATTCAAACTATTTCTATATGATCTCTTTGTTTCATGTATGCGACCCACTTGCATGTTCTCAACCACTCGCCTGCGCCACGCGAGGCCCCTTTGTATGAACAGGTTGAACCATCTTTATGATCATACAATCTGCTTCGGCTGTTCATCGCTATTCTATGATATGGCATCAAATGTTCTTGGCGACAACAAATAACACAGGCTGCGGTAATGCGCTGGCACGACCCGTCATTCCGTCTCGCTGCAGAAGAGCACGCAACGGTGCGCCGGCATCAGCATCCGGATTACACAAGGATGCTGCTGCTGCTGTGAAGTTGGTGCACTGGCGCCCTCCTGTGGCGAAACGACGAAATTGGACCCAATTAGCGCCGCAAACGGCATTGGTCGCAGAGTCATTAGTGTGATTTGTTAACGCAATTCAGTTGCGCACGGTAATGCCATTGCATTAGTATCACAGAGGACCGCGATGTGAGTGTGTTGTCACTGGATTAACGCAGGTTTTAATAATAAAAAGGTGGATTTTAGTGTGATTATCAGTAAATCAAGGGCCGAGGACACGTGTCCCAAGCTTGGTCATTTGGAAAGTGATTTAATCTATACAGCATATAGCTATGTAAAGGTGGTTTATTAATAGCACGTTCTCGGGCTATTTGGACCAAAATCACCAGATCGCAGTGACCACCTTGGGTTTTCTCAGACGGGATTCTGAGCTCCACAGCCACATCAAAACAGTTTAATATCTCTCAAAGTATCACCGACTCCAAAAACTTTTTTTTTGGGGGGGGGGGGGCCCTCGGTCCGTCCTGGCATCAACACCGGCGAGGGCGAAACGTTGTTGATCCGGATCCGCCCAGCCAGGCGTCACAAGCACCGACAAGATGGCCGAGATTACGGGACGAAAGTGAGGGAGGAAACAAAAACACAGGCGAGCTATCCTTGCCGCAGATGCCCGACCTGTAGCGCTGCTTGAAGGCAAGTTAGCGCATCGATACAACCGCTGGGTTATCGGTGTATTCGAGGGTCCGTTCTGCGGGTGACATCTGCGGCATGCGGACAAACCGCGCTCCGAGCCAGCTCACCGACAGAACGTTGGTCGGGTTGTCTGCGTTGGCTAGCTAGCTAACGTGCTAACCATGTTAGCCAGCTGACAACACCGCTAGCGAGAGAATACGTTATGTGAGTGACAGTCGTGTCATTTTGAAATACATAGTCGTCGCTACTTAAATGTGCTGCAGCGGGATAACTTCCCCCAAGTGGGAGAATCCGATTTAACGCACCAGTTAGCGAACTAACATTGCGGATTTCTTGCTGTGCAGCTCCAGAGTTAGCATTAGCAGACGTCTGTTAGCTTGCTCAGCTGTTTTTGGATGACTTGGTGTCGCTACCGCACAAGAAAGGGTGTGTGGGGGGACGTTTTTCTCTCTTCATACCCGTGCCCGAGGCGGTTCTCAGCGGGGCGCGTGTAACCAGGTGTCCGGGAGGATTAGCTGACGTTCACGGCACAAGTCGAGCCGAGGAGACGCCAGCCCTGCGTTGTTGGTCGAGGCGCAAACCCAGCCGGCAGCACCATGGCCCACTCTCCTGTTCAGGGTAACCTGCCGGGGATGCAGGTAAGACAGCCCTCTGAATCATCTCCGCATTAAGTAGTCGAGGTCACTGCCAGAACAAAATGTACACTTTTCTTCTTTCACTCCCCGCTGTGGGTTTTTTGTGCACGACACGCCGAACGACCCCGCTTTCCACCCGGTGACTTTTGGGTCATCTCGGGTAACGTTAACTTTCACCTCGTAAAAAAAAAAAAAACCTCACTCTCTCGAGGCCGGAAACACTTTAAAGGCTCATAGTGCACCCATATTAATGCTGCAATGGCCAGAATGAATAGGAGAACATGTATCGACAGACATAAACAACCTCAACACATTATTTATATAAACTATAATGTGTATGCGACATAATAGCCTAAAGCTAATCTGCATCTCTGCCATGGCGTCATTAGGAACTATGAAGCACGCGCACCTTGTTCTAGCCTCTGCTGCTATCTTTAGGAATTTGCCTAAAGGGGATAATTGTGTTGGGCAGATACCTCGAGGAGGTAACTGTTCCTGCATGCAGACTCTGAATGAAGTAGAGGATGCTTCAGGGGCAGACAAACTGCTGGGATTTTTGGCACACAACAAAGACTTGAGTCCATTTAGAGCACAATAACTCCTATGAAATCATGAAGAAGTCAGGTGATGATTGTTCTCAAAGGACACGGGGGCAAAGTTTTAGCTTGTCAGCCGTGCTGCAATATTTTAGGATATTTTAAATCGGGTCTACCAAGTGTACGTTTTTAAATCTGGCATAAAAAGCTCTTATTCCAATTCAAACCCAAATAGAACATTGTTGTAACACGATATGACTCATCACTTTATCGCCTCCGTCCCACACTTTCCATCAGCGGAATCACTGTTTAGTTTCTTGAATAAATCTCTTTCACGGCACCAAAAAGGGTCTTCATTGGTGACACAAGGGATCCTTTTTATTTTGTGTGTGTAACGCAGCTGTTTCATTTTTCTCTCAAGACGGGCATCTTGACCCGGCCTCTGCTCTGAAGAGGTCATGACAGGAAGTTGTTTTTGTCAGCGCTGTGCTCTTGTGTTTCCCACACAACAGCCTCTGGAGAGTTCACTTCCTGCAGCGTTTAAGTAGGGTTTCTTTTTTTCTGATACGCATGCTGCTACAGTGTGAGATCGTGCAATTCGTCCCTCCTGCCCTTATGTCCCCAAGAGGAGTTATAACTATGTCTCAGAGTGCCAACAGTCATTTTGGCTGTAACAGTGATATTGTGTTTCTCCTGGCTGGTTTTACATCTACAGCACCCAATCTGTCCGGTGCAGCCGGCTATAGAGAGGACTGAAATGTTTATCTTTGTGTTATTTCAATTCTTTTGAACCTGCCTGTTATCCAACTGTTACACTCTTTCCCTTTCACTCTCCTGTCTCTCTCTCTGTGTACACAAACACAAGGTGTTGCAACGAGTGAATTAATGTATCCTGTAAGAATGGCACCCTGCTGGTGTTTCCTATTTACTCCCCCAGCATTCAGTTCTTTTCAAACATTCCCCTTTCTTTCCTTTTTTGTTGTTTCAATCCGCTTTCCCTTCACCCTTTTCCCGTCACCGACAGAGCATCAAGGCCGACCCGGAGGAGCTGTTCACCAAGCTGGAGCGCATCGGCAAGGGCTCGTTCGGCGAGGTGTTCAAAGGCATCGACAATCGCACCCAGAAAGTGGTGGCCATCAAGACCATCGACCTGGAGGAGGCGGAGGACGAGATCGAGGACATCCAGCAGGAGATCACCGTGCTGAGCCAGTGCGACAGCCCCTTCGTCACCAAGTACTACGGCTCGTACCTCAAGGTGATGCTGGTACTAGGTCATAGTCTGTAATATGCAGGAAGTGAGCAAATGGGAAGGATTTCCCTTCCTCTGCCCACCCTTTCCCCGATTAATCCTGAATTAAAAAGGGATTTTGCCTCAGACGACATCCCACCAAGCCCTCATAGTGTCACCATGACTTGTTTACACCTCGCAATGAACCAATAACCCCCCCTCATAAGCGAGCGGTGTCTCTTTTGCCCGTCGCTGGCGGCTCACTCGCTTCTCTTCTTTCTGTCTCCACTGTTCCAGGACACGAAGCTATGGATCATCATGGAGTATTTAGGGGGAGGCTCGGCGTTAGATTTGGTAAGTGCACGTCGACGCATTCCGACACACTCCAACCCCGCCGCCTGTTTAAATAGTCTCCTTATTCATCAGATACCGTTGCTGTATGATGGAGCACATATTCATCCGCCCCGAGGCCCACCGCTCATGGTTTCTGTTTGCTTGCCCTCTAAAGATGGAGCCCGGAGCCCTGGACGAGACCCAGATCGCCACGATCCTGAGGGAGATCCTCAAGGGCCTGGAGTATCTGCACTCTGAGAAGAAGATCCACAGGGACATCAAAGGTAGCCGCGGGCGGACTGAGAGCGCTGCCGTCAGAGGCCGCAGGCTTTCAGACGACTAACTGGCATTTACGGAGCGCACGCGCAAATATCACGTAGCGCCTTAATGGTATCGACGACCACTTATGGGTTCCATTCATTATAGAGGTTGTGGTGCATCGGGGGGATTGAGGCGAACGCTGCAGCGCTTCTCTAAAAGGCTTCTGAAATTAATTGGCGATGCAGATAAATGGTGTTGACAGAGGCGTCCGATGATGTGTGTGTGTGTGTGTGTGTGTGTGTTCTCCGAGCTGCATCACGTCATCCTTCCGTCTGCCCCCCCCCCCCCGCACAGCCGCCAACGTGCTGCTGTCCGAGCAGGGAGAGGTGAAGCTGGCGGATTTCGGCGTGGCGGGGCAGCTCACCGACACCCAGATCAAACGCAACACCTTCGTCGGCACGCCCTTCTGGATGGCCCCCGAAGTCATCAGACAGTCGGCGTACGACTCCAAGGTGAGGCTCACAGACAAATGCATCAAACGTATCCGACTGAAGCAGAGTGGGAATAACTCTTACCGCACCTAAACAACCGTAATAACCCTGTGGAGCTTTATACCTCCAGTCGTGCTATGGAGCCGTTTTTTATTCACGGTGTCTCTCCGTGCTTTTCCAGGCCGACATCTGGTCGCTGGGCATCACGGCCATCGAGCTGGCGAAAGGTGAGCCGCCCCACTCGGAGCTCCACCCCATGAAGGTCTTATTCCTCATCCCAAAGAACACCCCGCCCACGCTGGAGGGCACCTACAGCAAGCCGCTCAAGGAGTTCGTCGAGGCCTGCCTCAACAAAGAGCCCAGCTTCGTGAGTAGCGTGTGTCACATTTTAAAAAAGTGTCTTTTTGTCTGGCGTGCTCATCTCACCTGCTTCCGTCTTGTTGCCCTAAAGAGGCCGACCGCCAAAGAGCTGCTGAAGCACAAGCTGATCGTGCGCCACGCGAAAAAGACCTCCTACCTGACCGAGCTGGTGGACAAGTACAAAAGGTGGAAGGCAGAGCAGTCGAGAACCACGGAGTCCAGTTCGGATGAGTCCGACTCGTAAGTTTGACACCGTCCTCCTTAAAGCTCTCGACAATCACTCGCCCCGATAAACGTCTTAACGCCTCTTTTAATGTCCGTCCAATCAGAGAGCAGGACGGCCAGGCGTCGGGCGGGAACAACTTTGGCAGCGACGACTGGATCTTCACCATCCGAGAGAAGGACCCCAAGAAGCTGCAGAACGGGGAGGGGCAGTTGGGGCCAGCAGACCAGGTGAGAGCTTCAAAAACGTCATTGAGCATCACTCGGGACATTTTTGGCTTTTTCGTTTAAAAATTGTTTTTGTTCATTTTGGCTGTTTTTGAGCGTATTGCATACAATTTGGGAAGGGTGCGTGTTTTTTAATTTATTTTGGCAGTTCAACCTCAGCTCCTTTAAATACATCTATAATAAACTGTAGCCAAAATACAGACACTCGGCTCTTCAAGCACAAAAACGTCCCCATTGACAGTGGATCAGATGAACTTCAGCCCGCTGTGACAGAACTACGTGTGCACTGTTTCACGAGGACTAACCCGTGATGTTATTTAGGGAAACACGCCGCCCTGATTTTAATAGATTACCCCCCCCTTAAGGTGAAGCTGCACTACTTTAATTTCCCTCCGCTCTGCTCTCCCCCCCCGCCCCCCGTTCTCTCGTCTCCTCCCCTTTCCGCAGACGAAAGACATTCCAAAGAGGCCTTATTCACAGAGCCTGGTCACCGTCATCTCTCCGGCATTAGCTGAGGTAAGGAGCTCCGTGTGGAGAACCAGCAGCCACAAAGGTCACTGAAGTGTTACATTTGGAAATCGGTGCCAACTAAACCTCTGCCTCCTCCCCCCTCTCTCCTCTCTCCTCACTCCCAGCTGAAGGCGAGACAGGAGCAGGTGAACGGGAACCCCATGGTCCTGGATGAGCTGAGGGAGGCCATCCTGCTGGCCGAGGAGGCCTACCCCGGCATCTCCGACTCCCTGGTGGCTCACATGGTCCACAGGCTCCAGAGGTAACGCCTCACAATCCTTTATCGTGTACATTATGTCTTTTTTCTTTAGCTGTATAAGACAATAACGTACCTTTCCTTTTTTCTCGCAGTTTCTCCACAAGCAGGACGTCCTCCTCCTCCTAGAGACCGGCTCTCTGCCCCGGCCCTGCTCCCCCACCACCAGCCCCCCCAACACCACAGCCAGGTCAGAGGGTCGAGACATTCAACACCAGCCGACCACGTTTGACCTCCCGGTGTGTGCGTGCGTGTGTGTGTGCGTGTGCGTGTGTGTGTGTGTAAGAGGGGGGGCGGCGGCGGCGGCTAACCCACTCTGTAAAAATGACTGAGCTCCAAAGCGGAGGCTTACAGCGGAACCCTGGGGAGCTTCTTGCAGCCACTGACGAGAGGAGGACTCAAGAGTTTTAAACGGACTCTGGGCTCTGCGTGCGCGCTGGACTACCACAGAGTCTCCGCGTGGAATCTGCTCGACGAGGAGCCGGAAAAATCCCACCCCCTCCGCGAAATCCAAGACTTCATTGCCCCCTCTCAATGCAGGCGTCATATCCCCAGAACCTCTGACAAAGCATGCTTGATGAACCTGCAGGGATATTATCTTAGTGTGCTAGTGCGTGTGTGTGTGTCTGTGGGCACCTGTGAGTGAGTGTGTGTGTGTGCGTGCATGTGTATGTAAGACTCCCTGTTAAGGCAAATTTGCAGCATTCTTAATGAAACCTCAGGTAAAGCGCTTTAAGTGGACTTGGAGGCAGGGGGGGGGGTGTCGATTAAAAGTCGTCATTGCGGGGGGAAATGGATCACTGTGTACAAAATGGTAACGCGCATTTTGTAGATATTGACGGATGTTTCAAAGTAGATATTTAAAAAGAAGAAGAAACAGAACATGCCTTGCCTTTTTGAGATACACACACACATCCGGCATTTCATCGCGGGCTTTCGTTCCTCCCGCTCGTCGAGCTCAGTGTTCGTCTGTGTTTGTTTTTCTCTCCAAGTGACCCGAGTTCCAATCTTCCATTTTGAATCACCGGACTAACTACGATACTAAGCGTACTTTGTTTAGAGGCTGAAGAGAACGACGACTACCTGTGCTTAAGTTTTAGACGAGTCGGTTTTGAAATTGTTGAGCACAAAGAATGGAGGCGGTTCGGCGTCGAGTGGAGCCCGGGACATTCACAAAGGGGAACCTCAATGAGCGCCGATATCATGTGAAGTATTATTTTTTTAATGGCTCCCAATTTCTCCTTTGCGTTACTTTTATTGTTAAAGTGGAAGCGAGGGACTCGCTTGTGGCCAAACGTATTTAAGGACAAGCCAAGCTGCAGTCGCCAACGCCATCCCGGACTTTCCCGTTTCTCACTTCCACGCTAGAAGTGCCATGTCGCTCTTTTTTTTTTTATGCTCTCACCAGATGTTCGTAGTATTGATTTGCACCTTTTTTTTGTCGTATTATTTTTGTATTGTCAGATCAGTCGGTTTGTTTTTGCACTTTGAAAGTGTGTCGAGTATTTAAAGAAGCCTGTAAGAAGAAAAAAAACAATAAAAGTTGCTGATAGCCATGTTTTACTATATATGTTTACTTAAGAGTTCCAGAATTTACTACTGTGCTAATGCAGCAATAATGTTGAGGAGTTGCATCAAGACGCACTTGTCAACACAGGGATTGAAAGAAATTAAGAAATACCTGATATTTTTATAACTGCAAAGATGGAAATATGGAATGCTTTATGGACATAGGCAAAAAACAACTATCTATACCTTACAGGAAAACATATGCTACGGAAATAACTACAAGATGTGTACATTTGGTCTCCTTTATCATAGCTGACAGTTTATAGTACTGTGTATATAATCTTTGCTTGTGTCATTTGAGGATTCCCAAGTTAAATGTGAGCTCCTTGTAAGCTTTCAAAGTGACATGAGAAATAAAGATCTGATGCTAACTGAGAAGCTTTGTGTCGTGCATTTGCTGGACTTAAATGTGTGTAGAGGGGATATTATGGCAGTTACATAATCAATACTAGAGTGTTAAGGCAAGGCCTAACGGGGAAGAAGTTATGAATATAAGTACTGTGTGTGTATATCTATATATATATATATCTATATATATATATGTTAATATTGTTCCAACTATTTTTCGACTTTCAAAATGTAAAAGAAACAAAAAAAATCATGAGTTTTTCCCCTTATTCCTGGCTGTAATACTCGTCCTTACAATACGCAGTGACGTGTTTAAAGTAAGACGGTGAACATGGCGAACACACTGCTGGACATCAGCACGTTAACGTTGTCATTTTACAGCCTCACAGAGCCGCTCTGGATCCATTTCCCCAAATGTGAACATTTGCTCATCTTCTACTATAGTAAAGTTTTATAACTAGATGTGTAGTAAAACATTTTGTACTCAGGAAAAAAAAAGAAAAAGTATTTAACATAAAGCCATCGCAGAAGAAACCTGTGTGTGCAACTTTATTAACGTCAACACCGTGCCGGCAGCTGTTATCACAGGGCAGTATTCTCCCAGAACAAAACCAAATGACTTTGAATATGATGAAGCTATTTCTGTTCCTATTGTACCCTGGAACACAACATCATATATACATACAACAGGGACAAAATATTACAGGGACAAAACTTTGCTTGGAAATAAATACAAATGTTGGAATAGTTTGTATGTGTTCTCCATAAAAGGCTATGAAACGTAAGGGGTCGCCTCAGATCCTGGTCTGTCTTTCCTCCTGGTTAGCGCTGGAACTCCTCCTGTCCTCCTTGCTATGCTCCACCGAGTCCTTCCTGGTCATCTCCACGCTCCTCCTCCTCTTCTCCTTCTCTTCGGGGTCCTTGTGGGCGAACTGGGCCTCTATCTTGGCCGGGTCGATGTAGGTGTAGAAGTGGGCCATGACGGCAAAGACGACGCACACCACCAGCAGCAGAGAGGCGAAGAGGATGTACTCGGCCCACTAGTGAACGGAAACGAACACAGCGTTGATTTGGAGCTAGACTGAAGGAATAGCTCATTTTGGGAAATACTCTGAGACGGTGAACATGGCTACATATGCAGTCCACCCACCTGGTCTGGGAGCGTCGCAGCCTCGGCGACAATGAGCACAATGATGTTGCCAACTGCAACGGTTAAGAGCCAACCGGCTTGCAGCACGGACTTCATGTTGCTGGGCGCCTGGAGAGCACAAGGGAAAAGGAACCAGAGACATATTCCATATTTCTAGTTTGTGTCAAAGTAGGTCAGACTTTATCATCCAGAGGAGAGCAGCCCCTCTTACCTGTGAGTAGGAGAACTCCAGGCCAGTGACGGAGAAGACCACCTCCCCTACGGTGATGAGGAAGTACTGCGGAATCTGCCAGGCCATGTGGATGGTGTTGGGCCTGATGTCCACCACGGGTCGGATGCTCTGCTCGCACTACAAGACAAGTTGTGTTACCTCGACACAAAAACAAAAAGTTACATTCAAGCTGTGCTGTGACTCAGAATGTATTCCCGATTTACATTAGGTCCAAATGCGAACGTCGGCGGGATGATCAAGGTGTAAGAGCTGCCGAAGCCCAGGTCCTGGCTGTAGATGCACTCTTCAGCCGACCTCTGGATCCGGAACCGAGCGCTGACGTGACAAGAAAAACACCAGTCAGAGCAAAGACTTCTCTCTGGTACGACCGTTTGTGACGTAAACGTAATGAGGCTTACGATCCCTGCTGTAGCGCGACGTAGTCGGACATGTTGTTGGTGACGATGTCCGTTAAGTCCAGGCTACCAACCGTTATGTTCAAAACAGAGCCAAAACCGTTGAAAAATCTGGGGGAGGAGGATTCAGAACACGGGAGGTGAGACAGTCTGACAGGCGAGGGTTTGAAATCAATAAGACAAACCTTTGCTCAGTTCAGTTATTATCTTCTCAAAATCTCTTTTATGGAGAGAAACAAAAGAATATCTGGTTGGAGAACTACCGATCTAAAGATTTGAGACTTACCTGATAGCATTAGCGCCCTGCTCCGGCTTTGCTGTGATGTCGGTGAACTGGAGACAGAGAGTCACTTTACTGATTCTGTAGCAGAAAAACAACAACTGTAACCTCAATTGGACTCACCGGTATGGGAAGGGGCATGTCCGGAACGATGACCATGGTGGTCCGACTGCCGTTCACGAAAGTGATTTGGTTATAGGCACCGGGCTCCATATTCAATACAAATGGTTGGTCAAAGGTCAGGTACTCCTCATTGGCCTGTAGGAGCAAAAGATAAGTCGATATCAAGACGTCCTCCTACCTTCAGTGTGTGGAGACTTCAGATGTTTGGTGTCGGTGTCTTATGTTGGGTGGAATACCGTGAAATTCCCCAAGGTGAACACGTTGGTCCCAGCTGTGATGTCCACCGATCTGTTATTCATGTTGACGAACTTCACTTGGCCTTCGGTGCTCGATGGGAACTTGGGCAGGGTTTCCTACAAGAGAAATGGAATTGTGTGTGAATTGTGCCTCATAAGGAGATGTGTGTGTGTATATGTGTGTGAGTTGCCCGACGTTTGTTTATTGATGTGCGAAGCACTCACATCGATCTGCATCTGGATCAGGGCAGCAGCGATGAACGCGAGGGCAGCGAACAACATCCCCACAGTCATCCTCCTCAAGGGGCTGCAGCACACACACACACACACACACACACACACACACACACACACACACAAAGTTAAGCTAGACTGAGTAATGGCTTATTTTCCATCACACAGGAACAAAACAAAAAGATGAACTCACCTGAAGTTTATTTTGCACTTGGAAATCAGCGGGTAGATCACACTCTCCACGATCGGCACCAAAACCAGGATCAAGATGGGGTTGACGGTCTGGTGGCAAGAAGGCGGGTCACTCCTTTAAAGCCTATTCTATTGGTTCACGTCAACAGCATGAGCAGAGTGTAATCGACATAAGTGTCTTACCTGCATCTGATCGGGCTGGATTATGAGAAATCCCTGTTGAAGAAAGAAGTAGAGGCAGCCAGTCAGAACCTCGTCTAACTTCTGTGTGTTTTGGTGCTCGCGAGGTGTGACACAGCAAAAAAAGCTGCGTATAAAACACTCACAAAGTTGCCGTCCATGGTGGTCGCCTGGAGGGTCCATCTGGAGCCCTGTGGAGGAGGCACAGCTCTCCTTTAGTCTTTGGGTTCTACCGGTACACTTATCGGCGCGCATTATCTGTGTGTGTTTCTATTGAAATTTGGAGACAATTGGTAGTCACCTGCTGGTCAAAGAGAGCCCAGAACATGGGCAGAGGGATGTAGAGGAACAGCACCTTCAGCACCATCTTCACCTGGGCTATCAGGAGTTTCTGGAGCCAATCAAAGACAAGGATTGGGATTTGTTACATCGCTGACTGTGCCGTTTGTTGTTTATGTGATAGGCATGCTGCACTTACATCGTATTTCTCCTCGGACCAGTCCATCCAGTGGGTTCTCTTTGGGGATTGAGCAGCGTGATGGCTGAAGCGGTTCTTGATGGCGAACTACAGATAACAGAGGGGGCATCTCAATGTGAACTCTGCCCTCGCTGCAATGGATTTTGGGAACTAAACTGAAAACCTTTGGGACTCACAAAATGTTCGTCTCTCAGGAGCCACTTACCCCGATGCAGGTGCAGACTTTCACCATGATGTTGCCTTGAGGGGGGGTCTTAATGTACATACCACTTCCGATAATGAACACAACTGCAGACACACACAAATATGTATTATAACATTATAACAAGGAGGTACTTATCTTATAATGCACTAAAAATATTCATGGTGCTTCTTTCATATAAAACACACTTTATAGAGGGTAATAAAGGCTTATAACAAACAAGTTCATTAATAGTTAATTCATAATTTATTAGTGTTAGTAATAAACTGCAAATGAAAAAAATGCAACTTGGCAACCCAGAAGCTGTCATCAAAATGGCTTATTTATTATCTAATAAAAAGATGAACATATAATTCATTAAAGGGGAACTCCAGCTATTTAACGTTGCACTTTCATCAAGTTGGAGACTTGCGAGGGACAAAATTGAAATCCTACAATTCCCATAATGCAACTGAGTAGCATGTTTCATCAGACTTTTTTCAAATTCCACCCCAGACATAGCTGACATAACCCCGATGACATCACTGTGACATCATCGGGGTTATTTCGTGAGACAGGGAGCTCCTACTGAGCCACATAAGATATTAAACAAAGGTCAACAGAGGTATTTAAAAAGGAAAAGGAATTCTTACTCAGAGCCACCACCATGAGAGCAGCGGGGACGCCGAAGGCCAGTGAGTAGCACTTCTGCTGGGTGTATATTCCACACTCCTGAGCTGGAAGCAACAGCACACACAGACACACGTTTGTATTTTGAACTCCACTCGTGAGTCATTTGTGCATTTTCATGCTCCGTGATCAACAGGGTACCTCTGAGGATGGGGGTGATGACGGTGGACAGCAGACTGCCAGCGTTGATGGACAGGTAGAAGATGGAGAAGAAGGTGCTTCTCTGCTTCTCCTGTTGGACACAGGGAAGTCAAACAAGTCCTGGACAAAAAGAAGCACTGATGCACATTTTTGCACAAGATTATATTGACCATAACTAAATATAACATTATACGACATCCCACTCCAGCAGAGTCATTGATATTATGGGGTAATATTTGTCCCCAGCCTTGAACAGCGTAATAAAGTTCAAGAGACAGATGTACATGTGGTTATTAGTTAATAAACAACTAGCTGGATGCAAACAGAGATACAAGAAGTGCTGACAAAAAGCCACTGATAGCTGAATGAGTTGTCTATTTAATTGTCTGTGTGTGTGGGGATTGGGTATTGTGCCGTACAAATTTAAGAATTGTATTTTATGGAAGCGGATTGAATTCACGAAGAAAACTCCTTATTTCCTTATTGTGACTTCTGTATCTCACAATTATGACATACTGTCTCACAATTAAGAGATACGCATCTGATTATTTTATGAAAACTCATCATCAGGTAACTATGTACTCGTATGATAGTTATAGTCTGAGCTCCTTTTTCATGATTACAAAATTAGGATCTCATGATTACGAGAAACATTGTGTGTTTGCTTGGGTGACATCCAACCTGGTGGTCTTGAAACTGGTCCCCACCGAAGGCCGCCACGCAGGGTTTGATGCCCCCTGTACCCAGGGCGATGAGCATCAGCCCCACCATGGACAGAGCTCTGAGGGCAAAGCACGGCACGCACACAATGTCAGTACAACGCCTGCCGCGCTCCTGTCACACGGTTTCTGTGTGTGTGTGTGTGTGTGTGTGTTCAACTCACACGTGGACGGTCATGTTGTCCGGGGTGCCGTCCCTGTTTGCATCTGTGATGTCATGGATAGCACTTACTGCCAAGACAACCTGTCCCAGCGTATAAACGATGGACAGGTAAACAATAGTCCTGTGCAGAGGGGGGAGGAGGAGGAGGAGAGTTAACCAGGTGTACAGGTCCAGGTAGAGATAAGATAGACAAGGGTCTAAAATCCAAGGATGAAATTTAACAGCTGATTCTGTGAGATATACTTTAACCCGGACTCTACTACTCTATCTAACAGTATTTAAAGCTAAACACAATGTTTATATCCACAATGTTTTTTTTATTTGGTTGCAGGTAAAAGATTCGCAGGATCTGAAACTCACTTGAACTTGCCGAGCCACGAATCCGCCACGATGGCTCCCAGGATGGGCGTCAGGTAGCAGAGAGCCACAAAGGTGTGGTAGATAGTGGTGGCGAAGTCATCATCCCACCGCAGGAAGTACTTGAAGTACAGCACCAGCACGGCTTCACACGGGGGGGGGGAATCAGGTATTATTAAGATCTTTTACTTTAGTAGAAATACCAATACAATAGTATAAAAATACTCCATCACGTGGAAGTCTTGCATTCAAAATATTGGCATTAAAAGTAAAAAAAACACATATTTATATACATATATATATATATATATATATATATATATATATACTTAACAAGGTACATGTACTATACTTCAGTATTTCCATTTTAATCTTTACACAGATCCAGAAGCAATCCAGCTCACCTCGCATGCCATAGTAGGAGAAACGCTCGCAGAACTCATTGACCACAATGAAAAAGATGCTTATTGGGAAGCCACAGACAGTAGCCTGTCAGGGGGAACGATGGTGATGATTTGTTTTTAATACCCATGAATGAATGCATATGGTTTGTCATGTATCAGAGCATTAAGCGATAAATTGGTGCATTTTTTGAAATACTGCAGACAGTGCAGTAAACGGTTGTACTTACACTTTTTTTCTTGGGGTCCTTCCTCTCTTCTTTGCCTGCACAAATGAAGTCTGTTGTGACAAAATGCCGAGAAGAGACGGCGAACTGAAGTTGCAACCAGCGGGAGTGTTTTAATCAAGCCAACAAGTTTATCATATCGAAACAAATCCCAATGTATTACTTTTCACAGATCTTTCACAGGCTTTTATAGTTAAGATTCACCCCCCTTAATTAAGTTACTTTCCACCAATCAAACCAGTCCGTTGAACCAAAAACAAAGCACATCTGGTCTCTTCATTATGTCATGCTCTCAGGTTGGCAGAACACACGATCCATGTACGGGAAATGTCTTGGTACGAATTGGAGAGATTTATTACAATTTGTCTGGCGCTCCCTCATCACTTCCTAAGAATATATCTATGAGCCAGAACACGTTACATAAACTGTTTACTTGTGAAGCCAAATGTGTTCAGTTCAATCTTAAGTTATATGATGCTTTTCCTCAACAAGTCACATTATCTACACAGGTTATTTTTTTTTCCTTGGGGAATGACATAAAGATGCATAGTACAAATTAAAATTGAAATTCCTCTAAAACCTGTCGGAAAATAAATATAAAAGATGTAAGAATGGGTTCTCAGTCTCAGGGTTCCCATCCAGACTGGGACTCACCTGCCATGGCTGCTGTGTGTGTCGACTTCTCCGACTGAATCCTTCAGCAGAAAAACTTGTGACCCTTATCCAGATCCACGACACGAAGACCAAACCTGGGCCTGGTCAGCTTCTTAGGTAACCTCCCACCAACCCCCCTGCAACGCCCACTGATGCTGGAGTGGCAAACACACACACACGGCGTCTAGCACCTACCAGCATGCAACGCACCATTACTCCCACCTTTCCAGCACATTCTCCTTATCATAATCATAAACGTGTGTGTGTCAATCAGCCAGTAATTACTTCATGACTGAGGGAAAATCCTCTTCCTTTACAGATAAAGAGGATGTTCCAGGTCAGCTGATAAAGGAAGCAATATACTGCTTTTCCAAACTGAACGACTGATGCTTAGCTCTGTGACTGGAATCTAATGACAATACATGCAAAGGCACACACTGGGTAACAGACACAAACACACACCGTGAAACACTAGCAGGAGGACTCACGCCAGACACATGATGTTTAGCAGCCAGAGTCTCTGAAACAATGACACAGTCGAGGTGTTTGTGGCACAGAGAGGGATTTTACAGGAGTCAGCATCCCCCGTTTCACTCCAATGAGTGCGCCGCTCACTCCATCCAACACAACCGCACACACACAAACAGAGAGAGAGACACACACACTTTCAGGAGGGAAGATGTTACGCCCCAAATGCACTCTCTAAACTGCATAAATATACTGATGTTACTGACAGTTGGGATTCTGTAGCTTGTGCTTCGAGTTGCATCTGAAACAAGAAAAAGGAGCTTAAGAAGTCGAGGATGCGTTCAAGGACCGAGGAACCGTGCGCTCTTTCAAAACTACCAAAGGAAATAAAATGGTTTGACATTCTTCAAATGACAAGCTTCCAAAGTGGTGATATTTTAGAACAAAAGCAAGGCATGGAAGAAGGCATTATTACAGTTTTTTATATATATTTAAAGACTTAAACATATGTACATGAGCAGTCACTAAGTAAAAATGTTTTTAAACCATACCGCAGATAATAAAAGGCATCCACATGACGGACAAAGAAACAAAGGGGGGAGTTTACAAATAGTCACACCCTCGTCCGGCCTTGAAGAGTCTTTTTTCTAATGTCTTTGGCAAGAGTGGTTTTCTGTGCAGCAGGTAGCCACGGTAACAATACAAAATATTGCACAAACTTTTTTTACAGGACAGAAAAAGGTTAAAACGTTGTGGTTCACTTGGCTTCAGACAGTTTCTATACATGTCCATTGGCCTAAAATAGAGCGAATGATTCTTTCAAAGGTAAGAATAAAAGATAAACTCTGATGCGTCTGCGTAACAGGGGTCACAATGAAAAGAATAGAAAAAGGGAAATGTAAAAATACTGTGCACCAGCTGAAGAATGTATGTACGGTTACAGCAGTGGCTTTAAAAACGCTCTCTCCTACAAAACACTGTACAAAAAAAAGAGACAATCGTAGACTTGGGTCAAATGCAGTCATGTTTGTTCTAACATCCTGGGGTGGAGCTTAAGACACCGGGATGTTTAACATAGCATCATGTTGTCAGTCACACGCTTGCTCTGCTTTACCCCGTCTCACGTAGGATAGAACAAACTATACAAAATGACCCAAAACTGTCAATAAGTCGAGAACTAGAATTAGTCTCCATAGGAAACAAGAGCAATGGGCCAACTGATAACAGGGAGTGAGCCTCATGACATATAGCAGGATGGAAAGAAACGCCGATGGATGACGGCTTCAGATTGTAGAGTGTCCCTCCTCTTGAGTGACAGCTAGTTTAATCAGTCATTAGTGGCGTAGAAGGCAAGAGTCTGGTGTGAAACATCTGGATCAGAGTATGGTGGTCGAGCCGTGTGGGTTGGCACTGGTTGGCGTGCCGCTGATGGCGTTGAAGATGCCCGTGGAGTCGGACAGAGCGCTCCTCGTGCCGTCTTCCACCGGGTTTATCTAGAAAAAGAAAAGGTGAATTAAGGAAAGGAAAGGTGTTGATTTCATCTGGTTGAAAGCTGAAACACACACATGCATGTGAATCTAAAGTTTAGGGACTGTAGGAAAAGTGTTTTAGGGGGCGGGGCTATAGTTTATTTATTTTTGCTGAATACAGGGAAGTTTATATATTTGGGGGGAGTAGAGGAGGGACCTTTTTCCATCATTCTTCTCTTGTGAAGAATGACATTTTTTTAATTTTCTGAGTCAAAGGAGGATTCCAAAAATAGTATTAATGGGCTTTGTTTTTGTATAAAATAAAAGAAATAAGCCCCGTTCCCCATCCTAATAATTTTCATACGGTCCCTTACTATCCCATCTAAAGAGTACAACGGTAGCAAAAGCAGCATTACCATCCAATCTGCTCAGGCCAGCACAAAGACAGCAGGAGATAGGACACATGGTTAGTTAGAAGAGCAGAAGACTGCAGCAGTGGATATCTCTTTAAGATTACAGTACAGTGAGGAATATGCAGCTTTAGATATTGTCCTACGTGCCATTCTGTGGACACAGGAAACTATAGCTGAAACTTTGAATTTAAAACAGTCAAAGCTATTGCACTAATAGTCTAAATGCTGTAGCAGATCGTGGTCTTCATGATGCTCCGTCTTTGGGGGTTCCCACCTGTTCGTGCATGATGTTCGACAGCTCCCTGGCCAGGTCCCTGTAGTTGGCCTTCATCTCGTCCTGGTACTCCTGCTGGTCCTCTTTGATCAGCCGCTCGTTCACTCCCAGCGCCTGACCGCAGGCGTCCACGAACTGCCTGAGGAGACAGGCGGCAGCAGTTCAGTGGTGGACACCCAACAGCTAGTGATGCAATACAGTTCACACGATGCAATTTACCAAAATCACTGTATGTTTTTGGTGAATTGAATCAAATGTGCGTTCCACTTGCACTTGAACACAGCAAGGCTCCTCTATAAATACAGATATAATATATTTATTATATAAATGTGTTTCTGTCATTGGTAAGTACCTGAACACCTCTTTGAGCTGTTTGACCTTGTTGTCGGGATATTTCTTGGCACTACTGTCGTCGAAGAAGGCTCTGGCGTAAGCAAGTGGACCGGCATTGACCTGGAAAAAAACAAAAAAACAACCGGGTTCAAAGATCCCAAATGACACAATTCATCAACCAGTCATCGTGGAACTGATTTACAGCAGCACGAGCTGGTGGTTTCCTACCTGAACGCTGATGCTGCCTTGCAGTTTGAGCTGCAGGCGGATCATGTCCACCTCGGAGGCCGAGCACAGCAGACGCAGCTCGGCCACCTTGGCGCTCATCTCGTCGATGGCCACCTCAATGGGGCCCAGGTCGGTCTGGTGTTGGTACATGACTGCTATGCGCTTCTTCACGTAAGGGAAGCAGTGGGTGGCTGGATGGGAACGGGAAATGGGACGGAGGGGACACATATTAAATGTCCTGTCAAATGTACAATAAACGTTAAAGCACCATGAGCACGGTCAGCAGCATCACACAGGTGACACTTGGGCATGTAAACAAGTTGTGTGTCTAGTTGTGTCTCTGTGGTAACATTCATAACCGGGATATTAACTGCCATGCAACTCGCTATCAGTCAGCGTGTTTATTATCGAAGCAAGATAACACCTGAACTTTGGGATTAAAGTGGATGGTACAGTGATAAACATCACTTGGCCCTTTCTGTTTATCTGGCCTAACGTGTCAGGTGACTGACAGACAATAACAGATGGCAACCAGGAAGATGTTCTTGCTCATTGCTTCCTGACATTGCTGCGGTGATAAGGCTGGCCGGAAGCACTTGTTTTGTGTCTTTATTCCGCACTAAATCCACATTTTGACCTACTGGTGAGGACGGTCCGCCGCTTGCACTGCTCTTCCACCCCTCCCTGCTTCTTGCCCGACACGGTGAACGGCGTCTCGAACACGAAGCGCCGGATGTTGTGGCTCTTCTCGAAGTCGGTCTTCCTGTCCTCCAGCTCCTTGTCGTCCAGGTGGGGCGTGACGTGGGTCACCTGGATGTAGGCGTACTTGGAGTCCAGGTCCTTCGGGTTCACCTGGGGGTTCACGAAGAGGTTTTTATTTGAAAGATGCAATGCGATAATTGGTAAGATTTAGAGGTGCTGGAACATATTTTTCAGTTTTGGACAGAGGCAGGCTAGCTGTGAACCTCTGTTTCCAGTCTTTGTGCTAAGCTACGCTAACATCACCTGGCACCAGCTTCATATGTAACGTATAAAAGAGTGGTATCAATGCTTGTTACTACAAGTGAACCGTCTCACATTGCATACACATCCATTTGATGCACCATCAATATATCAAATGTGATCCCACCTTGCCAGAGTCCTGAATGATCTTCACGTTCTCCTGACCAAACTTGTCGGAGTAGAGCTTCAGGAGCCTCTGGGAAATCTCAGACAGCGGGGTGAACTTTGGCTCCTTGTAGATGTATTCCTTTCCATCTTCATCCTCAAAGAAGCCCTGTGGAGGAGGAGAAGGAAGTCAAGTGGGTCAAGAATGTTCGGGCCACTTCGTCACCTGCAGCTCGGATAAGTCGAACCTTGAAAAAGACTGTTTACACCTGCCAGCTTGTTCAGTTGTTTTCCCATGATTTTGCCTGGATAAACAGGCGGGGAAAAATGTTTTGCCAGAATAATTTTTCAAAATATTGGCAGGTGGATTTTTGTTATTGTAATACTCATTTCGGCCACAAGAGGCTTAAGTGCACCACTTCCAAATGGGACTAAAGCGTTTCTATTTTCTGTGTGTTTTAATGTACATAACTCTATAACACACAATATATGTACAGTGTGTTTAAAGTGCATGAATAAATTAAAACAGGAATGATTTTAGACCCATTTAGAACATGGGGCAGTGGTACACTTCAGCCTCATCTGTCCGAAATGTGTTTTACAATAACAAGCACACAAAAAAGCATCTGTTCATTACCCATAAACACCGGAGAGAAAGACCTTGAAAACAGACCACCAGAAGTCTTTTTTCTCACTTGCCTCTTCGGAATTCCATAAAATACAACCAATCAAACAAAAACACAACAACACCACATGCTAACAAAAAACAAAGACCCAACAATGAAGCAAAAAGGGAGGAGTATGAAGACAACAGACATGCAAACTTCAGCTGGTCACCTCCCAACATTTTATTCAGTACTCAGTCATGTATCCGTGGAAAAGCACACAGAAGTGTGCAAGCTTTTGCTACACACAACATCTGCATTGAACAACTATTTTCCGACTTTTGGGAGCCAACTTATATTGCCACTGATTTAACTACAAAAAGATCAGCCCTCAAACAATATACTGATGCAAGGACATGGAAGAGCACACCAGGCCAACACATACAGCTGAACCTTTTACACACTTACCGCAGCCTTGGAGGGGGGAGGAGAGAAGAAGAGAAATCTCTATTAAAAGGATAACATTCAAAGTGTGTGTGTGTGTGTGTAAGGGAGTGTTCCCGCACTGAATGTGCATACATGCAAATGGAAAGAGATAACATAACCATCACGCTGATATTAAAGAGTTTGGATTGAGTTAGCATTTATGCTAGCCATTACTTTTTTTTAGTCTTTTGGAAACTCCGCCCCTTACCTGTCCAAAGAAGGCCACTCTGAAGTATGTGCCCAGCAGTCTCTTGCCAGTGTGCATCACCTCCATCACTTTAGTGTAGGCACGGTGGAGGGTATCATACAGGTGAGTCAGTTTCTGTTAAAAAGAAATCAACCGAGAACACGATTGATCATTTTTATAGGTCAGTTACTCAGTGGAGGGTAATCCCAACAGTTCATTTCAAATCACAATAATAATCCGATATTTTATGGAGCAACATGATTATTCATTAGCACTACTCCTGTTCTATCTTTTCTATTACCTCAAAGTCCCTGCGCTGCTCGTAGATGGGGATGATGAGCCTGTAGACATCAGCGATGAGCTCATAGCGCTCCGCCTTCCAGAAGCCATCAGCGCACTCCTCCAACAGCTCCATCAGCACCTCCTGGTACACAGATAAACACATGTAAACTTCATTAAACTCCCTCAGAATATTTAATTGCTGCAAAGAGGGACATTTCGGTTAGTTTATATTTGTCTAGAAGGCTCCGAACTGAGCATGGTGTTCCTGTAAAGACAGCAGACATGGGTGGAAATGGATCCATCATCTCCTTCCTTTTTATTGGTGGGTCCAGCTCGTAAAGAGGAAAGTGTTTTCAGAGCAGCTGGAGAGCAAAAAGGGGTTTTTCATTGCCTACAGATCTGTTGACCGACTCGTAAAACATTCTCCGGCCATCACTTTCAATTTCACCGGGTTTATCAGTTCACGGGGAGATCTGTTCTCAGGCCACTGTGTCAACAAGCCACTGCCGGAGTGCCCTTGAGCAAGGAATCCCTGAACAACTGACCCTGAAGCCCTTGAATTTCCGTCTGCCAGCTCAGTGGTTTTCTAAATGTGATTAACAACACATGTACCAAGCCCAGGCTCAAAGTCTACACTGTCACTTAGTCTACCGACTAAACAGAGCAATAGATACTCTTAACAGAGATAAGAGCTCTTCTAGACATTAGTCATTATGTGACACGTGACAAAACATCCTCGGTTAACACGGTGGGCCTTGCAGATATCCAGAGCATGGTGTACACGGTGTGTGGCACGTAGAAGACTTCACAGTACCTCGTTGAAGTGGACATCCTGCATCCCGACGTCCTCCATCATGGCTGCCTCCTCGTCGATGTTCGGGGTGGTGACGCGGAAAGACGAGCAGCCCTGCCTGAACATACCTAGCAGGCAGATACAGAACCGACAGCAGGGAACGTTTTTATTTTGAAATTAAACATAAAAAGTGACTTTTTTTCATTTCACGGAAATATGGTACGTCGCTGAAATTAACCAACAAATTGGGAATATTAATCACACAAATCAGAGACAAGACAAGTACAAGACACATGCAGGTAAATGGAGGGTAAAAAAAAAAATGCTATGTTCCATTGACACACTTATCTTAGTCAAAGTAAGAACACACATATGATCCCATCTGTATATGCCTAATGTAGCAGTGACATATGTCAATAAATATTCCGGTGATAAGCGGTACACAGCAATGAAACACAAGTGGCCAACTGTTTATGAGTGCCATAAGCGTGAAGAATCAGCATATTTCACTAGAAACGTACAATCAGACACTTTTCAATTTCAACATCACTCTAATTGTCTTGCTTAACGGGATAGTTTGGATGTTTTGAAGTGAGATTACATGAGGTACTAATCCATAGTCAGTGTACCTCCTACAGTAGATGGTGGAGGACATTATACGACAGAGTCTAATTAATTTTATTGATTTGTTTATTGAACAATTATTTTCCGAGATAATCTTCTTTCTACTGCGTTAGCCTTTACCAGTGACTCATTATCGGGCCTCTGTAAATTGGGATTGTGAAAGTGTTGGAGTTGAAATGGTCAGCGGTTAATTACTGTAAAAGGAAGCGCGCCGCTACCAGGAGACACCTATATCCTCAACTCACCTTTCCTCCACAGGTACTCAGCTACCAGGGCTGCAACATGCACGTAACACATGGCTGCCTGCAGGTGAAGTAGACAAACAGAACCACAGCTTAGCACAAGAATGCCCGACTGAAGAAGCAGTCGCGTCCTGCAAGTGAAAATATAATTGAAATAAAAGATTAAAAGAACCTCAGAGAGATCTCCGTTCTTGTTGTGGATGCGGGCCATGCTGTCCAGCCAGGTCTTGCGGAGCTCGGGCGTGCTGGTGTAGGACTTGGCCAAGCTGTACTGGAGGTCCACCAGCATCTCCGGGTCGTCCTCGTGCTCCTTCATCTGTTCCGTGGCCATCAGCACCGTCCTGATGCGCTTCGTCAGGTCCTTCACATCTGACGGAAATGCTGTGTGCTACAGCAGTACAATGACATGAGTTCTATTTTAATAGCTAAACAATTATAATATTCATAGTCCTGTGGTTGAAGTAGCAACCTTTGTTGTTTTTCTGTGTATGGAGGCAAGTCTGACTAAATAATTCTGGTGATCCACTTTCCCCTCACCTTGATGCTCTTGTCACTGTTGGCACAGTTGTTAATGATGGAGAGCGACTGCTGGAAACGGGTACCCCCGATGCCGATGACATCGGCAATCAGCTGACTGACAGCAATGACCACCTGAGCGAAACAGAGAGGAGAGGAGCGAACGAAAGATCAAACTGACGCGTGACCTGCAAGGACACATTTTTCTTCTCCATACCCGGACACACGTACCTGCAGGTGTGTTCGGACAAAAGACTTGCGTCCGGTGTAGTCGAAGTTGCTTTTCATGAGAAAGTAGAGGAGATGGGCGGCGTCGCTGCGGATGGAGCTCAGCTTGGAGTTGCAGCACTTGAGGATTTCATAGCACAGAGAGGCACACATGTCGGCACGTCCGTCAAAGAAGGTGCAGGGGAACTGGAGGACAGGAAGTAATGCAGCTTTTAGGAAAGAGGATATTTAAGACAAAATGTTCTTATTTCCGCCATGAATTTAAATCACCTTGTAGATGAAGGTCCTCAGTGAGGTGAAGACCTGTTTGAGGGCGGCCTCGGACTGAGGGATCTGCAGGAAGCACAGATGCACCTGGACCACTTTCTTCATCAGGGGGTTGTGACCGAGATCCGAATTCAGCTGCGTCTGAGGACACGGCAGAGGAGGCGTGAGGACACCAACCAGAACCAGAGTGTCACGTATCGTGGCGGTTTGTATCGGAACAGTTTATATACCTTGAATCCCATGATGAAGATGCTGAGTGTGTCCAGCACTGTCAGACAGACCTCTGTGGACACATTGGCCTCCAGCAGGCACTGGCTGCTCACGTCTGCCTCCGTGTGAGAGTACACTGCACGAGAAAACGCCCAAACTCACGGCTTTATTACAGCGATGAATACCCAGAACATCATCCGCTTGATTAGATTGCTAATCAGCGCCAATGACTAAATGAATATTTGCCATGTACTTATATTTCTGCTTGTCTATGGAAGGAGATAAGCTCTGTCATTGTTGTTGCAACTCTGACTGGCTGCCAACAGAGGTCAGTAAAGGAACGCCTTTAGTGAGCACGTCTGGAGCTGAGATCATTCCACTGTTTACAGCAGAGGACAGGAAGGCTTACTGTTGTTGAAGGTGTGAGCGTTCTCCAGAGTTCCCAGCTGCTGAAGGCGGGCATGCAAGATCCCCGCCCTGTTACGAGACACAGGCAGAGTCAGAGACTTCCTGTCCGGAGCTACAGGCCCCGCCCCCTCCTGGCTCCTGTTGGCAGGAGAGAAATGCCAGTTATGCTCACGGGACAGCAAAGTTACACGGGCACGAAGGGATCGGATGAGCGCAAATCAAATGAGGGAATATCTCAGCATTAAACACAGACAGAAAGAAACACGGCCGATAAATGAGCATCGTGCATTTAATGAGGCAAAGTGAGACAAAAAGACAGCAATGTCTTACCCATGCAAGAGGGGCCCGGGGCCGCGACATTAACCACAAAACAACTGGCCAGCAGTGTTATAGAAGAGGGAACAAACCAAAGGCAAACGGGGTTAAAAGGTTCAGTAAGGGCCGGCGCTTTGTAAGTATGTGCATGAGCGTGGGTCATATTGTCAACAAAATGAGTTTAAGTTCAAGAACAAATCCATGAATTCAGTTTAAAATGAGGTATGGGACATTATTTATGCCCTCGAACACTTTACCTGACGATGAATCTCTTCCCCATGTATCTAAACTGATGGAGGCAGACTCTGCAGAGCAAACGCAGAAAGTGAATTCAAGACCTCGCATTCACATCGAACCATCTGATCAACATGATCACAAAGAGGTACTCACTCTATCAATGTGAAGAAGTCCATCAGTTCTGAGGGAGCTGCTTTGTTCCAGTACGCGAAAAGGGCCTCTGAGGTGACGAGACGGTGAGAAAAGATGACAATGAAACAGGATGTTCACGTGAACTTGCGTGTCACAATCCAGCACAATGACTCGGACGGGGCCGCCCTACCCTCTGACATGCTCTTGAGGATGTGCAGGAAGCACATGAGCACGTTTTTGATCTCGTCCCGGTCCAGTTTGTCACAGCGCAGCACGGCGCTGCCCAGAGCCGACGCACACTGGTACTGATGCGGAGGAGGGAAAGTGGGGGGGGGGAAAAAGTTTTTAGTTATTGGGCGCAGAGTTGCAGAAAAACTCATAAGAGATAAAGAACATCACTCAAGCAACCCAAACTTCAGAGATGAGAAATGTCAAGTGTTTTCCTCGGAAGGGAGGCGACATGTGCTGCAGCAGCTCTGTGCTTTCAGAGGAAAACACATATACAGCCGCATCACAGCATGTGAGGAAATGATTGAAAACGGCTGCGAGTCAGCGGTCTGCTCAGCATCCGCATTGGTAAAAGCATGCTCACTCCCTGATGTGGGACACTCGGAAGAGAAGAAGGATTTTGGATGTATTGTACAGATATCTGCATGTTTTTGGTCTTCAGAAAATCTGCTGTACAATTGTAACCAAAAGTCTCCGGTGGAGAGGTCACAGATGTCAAACGGAATACTTGTATCGGTATGTTTTCCTCGTGACCATGATGTTTTACTGGCAGGCCAGGCAGTGGCAAAGAGAGGAAGGAGAAGTCCATGGTGACCCGCTTGGCCGCGCGGTTCAGAGGTGGGACCCGGTCCCCGGGGTCCACGGGGAGAGGGGGCACGTTGACCGAGTGCCTCCTGGGAAACCTCTCCCTTTGGTGGGGTTGGGAGGTCACAGAGCAAAGGGAAGGGGTGTGGGAGCTCTGGAGGGAGGGGGGGTGGGAGGAGAGCGTGGACGTCCAAGAGGGAAGATTGATCAAATTCATGGGAGAGCTTTGCAAACTATCGACCTTGTGTTTTGCTGGCATCGGCTTTCATTATATTGAGTCTCACAGACCAGCGGCTTTTACCACAAAGGAAATGTTGCAAATGAAGTGGTCATCCAGCCTCATTCAGGCACCTACCTTCTCCAGGGAGTTGGTCTTGTCACTGCTCTTGTCCAGCAGGCTGTTTCCAGAGTCGGTGGAGATCAGAGAGCCTCTGGAGTCTGCGTGTTGCACTGAGCTGATGTTGGGAGTGGAGCTGTGAGGGGAGGCTGCAGGGACAGAGTACAAAAAATACATTTTTGGCATGTCAGACGATGGGATTAAATCTACAGTGTACAGCTGGTTATACAGAGGAGCGCATACATTTGCTGCATAACCCATGTCACGAGACATGGGTTATAACCTCTGCTACATAAGAACAAGAGCCACAGATTCAAAGACACATACCTTTAGTCGTTTTTGTCTCTTTTTGGTCATTTTTCATGACTTTATAGTCATTTTACACCTCTTTTTGGTCACATTGTATCTCTTTGTAGTCATTTTGCATCTCTTTGCAGTCATTTTGCATCCCTTTTGATCATTTAGGATCTCTTTACGGTCGTTTTGTATATCTTTGCACTCGTTTTTTTGTCTCTTTTTGAGAATTTTGCATCCCCTTGTAGTTGTTTTGCATCTCTTTTTGATCATTTACCTGTTCCAGAGATGACTCCAAACACATCTTTGTGGAGAGCATTTTCTATGCAGCTCCCGGGTTTCTGAGGGGTCACCATGGAGTTGGGTACCAGAGAGTCCTCCCTGGCATTCTGGGACAGAGAAAGACAAAGTGAGCTAATGGAATCAGCTGAACCGACATTAACCCAGTAATACATGTTTTGAAGAAAGAGCAGGTCTGCTGCTGTTCACTTTCCCAACACTAGGTGTCAGGCTTACATTGTGGTTGCTGAGGGGGGCAGACTCCTTCATGTCAAGTCTGTAAACGTTCTCCTGGAGCAGACCAAACAGAGGGAGGTAGAGGGTGGCGAGTCTGGCCTGCTGGCTCTGGAATGACACAGTAGGGGCCCATGAGTCATTTAGTCAAAGAAGTGTGACCCAAAACCTCAAACATTGTCCAAATTAAAATAACCTCTGGGTGTTCAGAGTGCAGTAAAGGTGGCCGAGAGCCGTAGAACTCACTTTCGCAGCATAGCGGTCGTCAAACGTGTGTTTGATCATCAGCCCCTTGAGCACCTGGATGGCGATCTGACGGATCTCTCGAAACTCCTGAAGGGCACCGCCCACCTCCCTCAGCAGCAGCCCCACCAGGAAGTGGTTTCGACAGAAGTCGTCAGTCAGGGAATAGTCCAGCTGCAGATCTGAGGCAGGCATCAGTCAGCAGAAATAACATTGACGTGAAAAGATTAAACGATACGGAGAGAACAGGATGCAGAGAACAAGCAGTGTGTGTCATTTACCTTGGAACCTTTGAATTCTGCCTTTTCCAAAGGGCATGGGTAGATTAAGAGGGACATAGTGCTCATGGTTGCAAACAACGCGCAGGAACTCAAACTTGAATTCATACAAAGTCTGGAAGTAATGCAAGAGAAAACACATTTTAAGGAAGCTTGTGTGGCTTGAAGTTAGCTTTTAGCTTCATGTTTAACGACTGGAATAAGAAGAGTATGGATGATAGCAGGAGAGCATTTTAACCTTGGGGTCTCCAGGCATAAAGCAGTTCATGTAGTTATTGATCTGCTTGAACACGAAGCCTCTGTCCATGACGGTGAAGCAGCGCTGAGTCAAAAGGTGAGTGAAGCATTATAAATCAGATTTTTCTACACATGTCTACCGGCCCTAAACCAAAGGGAATTTTATGAAAATATCTACGTATCAAAAGGCAAGCACTGGGAGGAGTGCCAACCTTGATGAAAACTGCCAGACTGTGATTGGCATTGCGAGCCGCATCCAGGTTGTCCTTGTACTTCTGGGTGATGTGTGGCATCAGCATATTCACCAGAGTCTCCGCTGCGTGGTAGAAGGATGCCGAGAAACGCTGGTTCCTGGAGAGCTGGACGAGGGAGGCAGAAAGAAAAGAGGGGGAGGATTGAGACTCCGAGGAAAGAAGTTAAAGAAAGGACGAGCAGACAAAAAGAAGGCCTACCTTGACCTTCCCGCTCTCCATGAGATAATGAGCCATTGATTTCACCAGAGCTTCAAAGAAGTACCACGAATACTGCAACACAAACACAGAGTCACTGCAAGGAAAAACCTTCAAACCTAAATGTAATTTACATCAGACATTTCAGTCACCCGCTTAGGATGAATGGGCGTTATCGGCGGTTATCCGCCTCATAGGTGCGCCACACCTACCAGTCGGTTTAGAAGGCCATTATCATCTATTCACATGGTTGATCACTGGTACAAATACAAGAAGACGACGCTGACCTCAAGTGGCCGTAGTAATTACGAAGGGAGCAAAGGAGGAAGTCAGGTGACGTAGAATAAAGAGCGCCAAAGTCCGTAACGTGACGTATCGAGTTGGTGGGTCAAACAAACGCAGGACTTCCACCCAGGAGATCTGCGTTTGTGTCCCGTGTGAAAGTTAATTCATGTAACTTAACTGAACTTCAAAGTAACATAACGTAGAATGCTAAACTAGGTACTAGCTAACTAGGGAAGGGAGTGCATCTGTGTTTCCATGCTGCTTTGTTCCCCAGCTTCATGTCCTCTTACTATGACACATAAACGACACCTTTCAAGGGGTTTTATGTTCTCAGCAATGTATGTTTATCATCCACCTACAGCTCATAGCCTGCTGATGACTCGTTGAAACCCACGCTCTCACATTTGCAGGCAAGACAGTTTTCTTTCTATTTTTCTTCAGACATTGTTATCTCCACACTGGCTGAAAGGTTTTTTACAATGATTACCTTCAGCAGCTTGTTGCTAGTTAGGAAGTCTGTGGACGGCTTGAGAATAGCTGTCATGGCTTTAGCCAGCTCCTCGTGAACAGTTTTTACATCGGTAGAGGAATAAGGCTCCGGCTTAAACACGAACTGAGAGAAAAGAAATCAGATTGTATCAATTTTCTTTCTGCAGAAATACAGGAACATACAAAAATATATCGTCTGCGTAATATCGTGAGTAAAAGACTGCACCTTGATATAAGATCTCAAGTAATGTTCAAGCCCCTCTTCATGGCACTGTGCTACGACATGAACCATCACCCTAAAGAGAAATGGATAATGATATAGAAATATAAGAGAATATACAGGAGGAAGTGAGGCTCGCTGGAAGGAACAAGCCAAAGATAGACATAACATTTATGAATTCTGAGGCACTAACACCTCATTTACACACTGCCTACCGAGCTTCAAAGACTAGTCACACACACAACTGAGACATAAGACACATACATCGACTGTGCACTCCATAGGTGAGCGTCTAATGAGAAAGAGGACTCAGGCTATTACAGAGAATCAGGGGAATCCGCTTTGGAAATATTAAAGTGCTGTTATTATTTCATGAAGTTTGTTAAAAGTATATATTTCTGCTGCCGGAAACCTGCATTTCACACATGGGTGTGTAAGTATGTGTGTGTGTGTGTGTGTGTGTGTGTGGCTTGCCTGGTTACGTTGACAGCCACATCCTCGTGCGTGGCTCTGGTTAGGACGCAGAACAGCTGGTTCAGGATGGTGGGCAAAAAGTTGACCATGACATGACCCTCCATTGCATGGAGACTCTAAGAGGATTAAGAAAATAAATATATATATACTTATTGAATGACTCTGGCTTGTCATGTTCCCATGCTAGATTACAAGATTGTGTTTGATGAGGCATGTACAGAAGGGTGTGTTCCAGGTTGTTCTTTGGCGCATTCAAAGTACCTTCAGGTATTTTACCAGCTCCCCCTCTGAAGCTTGTTCTGACATCTCCATGATTTGACAGTGGTGAAAGAAGTTGTGCAAGTGCTGATCCTACAGGAAACACATGATTTGAATACATATTTGCGTTTACAATGAGCAGGTGATAGTAATGGACATAACGTGGATATATACCGGAGTGTAAACGGTGGAGACGAGATGAGTTGAGACTTTGAACAGGGTTTTTCCTCCGTCGACCCATTTGATCTCCGAGCCAGAGTGCTGCAATGACAAGTGGGCAATTACTACACTGCATACTTAATAAAAACTGCACTGTGTTGATTTATGCTCAAGCATAGACAACATGATACAACTGACAAATCAGGGACTTCTTACACAGCCCGTTCAATTTAAAGTCAGCACACAGCATGACGCACAATGAGCCACTTTTGTGTACACATTAATTAAATGTACATTAAACCCGTTAGCCATGCATCTAAGAAACAGGATTACATTTTAATGCTGATCAGATTTCACAGGCATTTCATGTGAAAGCCTGTCGGACCCCTGAGAGGTCCCGATCCAATCACAGCTAATACGATCTTTATCCATTAACCACAAGCTGCATCGGATCCTATATGGTAACGGAAGAAATCCCATCTTTAAAGCCAATTTGGAAAATAGTTTGAAGGCAATACAGTTAAATACTTTGACCTACAAAGGGCCTTAAACCTGCATTCTTTCTAATGTCCAGCAGGGGGCGACTCCTCTGGTTGCAAAAAAAGAGGTTTATTGAGTTATCATGACCACTTCCACATATGACTCTTTAACAAATAATCAGATGTATCTAACGACTATTCTTTTTACCTTGTTGATTCCATCCTGGGTGCCAAGGTACCCGGCGGGCAGATTGGCGGCCACTGGCAGCATCTGTTCATTCACGATGACTCGGCCATCCCTTAGCAGAGGCAGCCATGCTGAACCCACTGTGTGTAAAGCAGGCACAGCCACAGGTTTTTAAAGTAGTGGTAATGCTGGGGTGGCTGCAGCATGAAGATCAACATTTCAAATATCTCCACCTACTGGGGAGACTCATAAAGACGAGCATCACACTGTGTAAAGCATGCCAGTGTTTCCTAATCACGGGGTAGAGGTGACTGAAAGCTGCAGCCTACCTGGAGACTCCATCAGGTCTTTCTTCTTGCTGTTGCTCTCACAGCTAACATGATAGAAGGTGAAGAGAAGGTGATGCTTCTCATGCAGCTGAGTCGGCAGCTCTATCTTTATCTGAAGGTGAGGAAAAACACAGATTCCTGAGGGTTGATTCTCTTTTACAAAGGCAGCTTTGTTCAGGCAAACACCTGCAGAGCATTTCCAGTGAGGATTCAATGTTCAATTGAAATGTGCTCAAACAATATACTCAAAACACGGCGCTTTCAAAAAATATATCCCGTTTTGACTTTGAGCATATGCCATAAAGCATATTTGACTTTCTCCATTGATGGTTGTAGCCATTGATATACGTATCACAGATTATATTACTCAAACTGATTATAAGAGCACAGACTTACCTCATCATAGAACTCAGGGTTCTGCTGATGGTGCAGGACGGTTGCATATGCCTGCTTAGTGAATAGAGGAGCTCCTGGAGGACCGTAGATGCACTGCAGTAGATTCAGAAAGCAGGAGATAATCAAACATGACAGAGAGAGAAAGAGCTAGTCAAGTCCTAAGTCAAGACTAACTTGTCCAAAGTCAAGACTTAGAGTTCCTAAATCAAGACTAACAGGTCCAAAGTCAAGACTAACAGGTCCAAAGTCAAGGCTTACAGGTCTAAAGTCAAAACCAACCCGTCCAAAGTCAAGACAGAGTCAAGACCAGGGTCAAGTCCCAAGTCAAGTGTAACAAGTCTAAAATCAAGTCCTAAGTCAAGACCAGCAAGTCCAAAGTCAAGTCCCAAGACAAGACTGAGTCTTAAGTCAAGACGAAAGCTTAGACCAACAAGTCCAATGTCAAATCCCTAAACTAAGACCAAAGAGTCCAAAGTTGAGTCCCAAGTCAAGACCAACAAGTCTGTTGCAAATCTATTTTGTGAAGTCAAAAGTCATCAGACTGAAATCTGACTTGAATCCATGTCACATGATTTCGGTCCACACTTGAATTTGACCATGCTCAATTCTGCGTAGGGCATTTTGCAAAGAGCTGAAATAATAACTGCGTTCAGCATTTCCTAAAATGTAAACGCACCTTCACCGGCTGGGCCTCATCCTCATCACAATCCTTGAATTCAATGCAAACTGCAATATTCCTCGCCTAGAGAGGGGAGACAAATTAAAAAACAGAGTATAAAAGCAGGAACCAGTTCCCAGACATCCCTGTTGGCCTGGAACCAATTTCGCCAGACACTTTCTCTCCTGTGCCTCTCTGCGTCCATTTCAGATGTCCATTAGTGCCGACAAATATTTCAGGGAAAGGATTGCCAGCAGTCATTTAAAATAAAAGAGGGCAGAGAGACAGATGGAGGAGAGGAGGCAGGTTGGTTTCCTACGGTGAAAATAGCAACCCTGCATTAATGTATTAAGCAGAAGCTGCTGCTCTGCGTAAGGATAATTCTATCCAGCTCTGCTGTTTGGCTGAGCCCGAGGCGGTTGCCAGTTGCCTCGTAAGCTAAACAGGAACACAATACGATGATGATAAGAGAATGCTGGCCATACAAAAGCATCTCTTTCCATAACAGATAAGTCGTATGTTTTTAGAGTGATTTTATGTTACATGGCTCTTACCTTAGTGAAGGATTTCTGTCCGTCATATTTGAGGTGTTTTGGGTACACGTAGAGGTGGTTCCTATAGATGGTGAATGGCTGGGAGCACTTGGCGATGCAGGGTACAAACTCCTCCACCTCCAGAAGAGCGCTGCCGGGCCCGTTGCCTTCAAACGTCCTCACGGGGATGTAGGAGGAAGTGACGCAGTCTGCAGGCAGGAAACGAGAGGGGTCACTGGGTTCCAGGTCAAAGTCGGACGATTATTAAATAGACAATGAAATGGGACTTTGTAAATATTTGGAGGGGTTTACTGGTTACATCCGGTGCCACGCTGTCAATGGTTACATCCAAGTTCCCTAAGAGCACAGGGAGTTTGGCCATTCTCTCTGGTCTGTTGGGAAAACAGAGATAGAAACGGCGATGACTAAAATGTCTCGATATAGCGGTATCTTTAAGAGAGGGGGAGAAGCATACTTTCTGAAGTCAGTCAGCAGTTTGAACATGTCCTCGTCTGACAGCTTGCTGCTGTCCTGTCTGTAAAGAGATGAGAAGCGAGAGCTTTTGTCCAAAGTTCCCGAAGCGTCTTTGAACACAGGCCTGCAGAGACAGAAAAAAAAACGAAGTCAGAGGATCCATTGAAGAAAGAGCGCATTTCAGTTCTACACCAGCGATTTCAAGATATGCGTCTCCCAGTGGGCCGACTTTCATTTGACAGTTTCCGCAGCATCCTACATCTGAATCACAATATGTGGCATTAGGGCACAAGAGAATAAGTCCCCTTGATTTGTGGAAGCAAGAAGTCACGCATATGAGTCTATTTGGGTCTGGTGGAAGTCCCTTCAATCTCGTTGGTTCTCAGTCATGCTGCAGCAAGTTTCTTTTGTTGATTTCTTTTGGGAAGGGGGGGTCATACCTAGCAGCCCAGGCGAATGGCATCCTGTACTGTCCCAGCCTGCTGCAGGCCGTCTTGGCATTCTTCAGCACCTTTTGAGCCATCTACAGGCAGGCAAGAAAACAGAGTATTCATTTTCAGAGCACACGGTAATTCACGGCCACATCCCATCTTACAGTACCTTGGCGGAGTCTGAGCTCTTCATGTAGGGTTCGGTGCAGTGGGTGATCCCCCCCTGCAGGACCTTCTCGATCCTGGCCACCAGGAAGATCTCTGGATGCGGGCACGTGACTGAGAACACCCCCTGCCTGGGGTACTGGAGGGCACCGACCGGGAGCCCACTGGCCTGCCTTGGTCCAGCCAGGGGACCGTCGCCGTCGCCGTTGATGTGCAACTCCGGCCTGCTACCGGAGCCTGATGTCATTTGTCGCACTAAAGGGTGGTTGAGATCCACGTGGAAGTCGGCCGAGATCTTTCTACTGTTCTGGACGTCGAAGAGGGACAGGACCACATAGAACGGCTCCACCTAAGATGAAAGTTACAAAAGGAAAAATATATATTTTTAATGGAAGTTGGAAGACGAGAGACAAACAGAAAGAGTCGAGGAAAGAACACCCTTCCTTCCTAATGCACTTCTCATTTTCCATCAAGTCCAAATGGACCATTGATGTAATTCATCTGCTCATTCACTCTTTCCATCGTGCATTTCCATCACACAAACCCATTTGTGCGTGTGTGTGAGGAGCAGAGCTAATAGCTGTGGTTTCCCAGCTGAGTGCTGAGTGTAGAACGAGTCCTCGTCCTACAGAGACCTTGGAGAGTGACGGCAGGAAACCAGCCTCAGACTGGTGCTAATGGGTGGCGGAAGGCCCGTGCCGGTTGCCATTGCGGTGGCCGTTCCTCGTGCCAACAGCACCAGTTTTGACGGGGGGATGGGGGGGGGGGCGCCGAGTGGGCCATCTGAACCGTCTGTGATCTTCTTAACCGGTTTAGACCTCGCCCTCGTTCGCTAAAGGACATTTCCATCGTGCTGTAAACGTGGTTTTTGTACTTTCAAATACGCATCACGTTTTGGCTTTTTAATTTTTCGATTGTTTGGGTGCGTTAATGCATATGGCATGAATTTTGGCATTGGATGTTTTTTTTATTTCTTATTTTGAAATTGTAACCATTAATTTATAATTTAATGGCATTTGACGCAGCAACCTTTTTAAAGTGAGGCACAAGGGTTAACGCCTACAACCATATTCACAGTTTCTTTTCATTAACACATACATTAGTGGTCGGCCCCTCTTCATTCTCTGCGACGCAGCCCTGCAGGTTGAAAGACAGGTCGTGACAGCTGACCAGGACTCTCTTCCCGAACTTCTCTTCGAACTGACGCACGTCTGGCTCAATGCCAGAGAAGTCCAGTTTCTGTGGAAACGGGAGATGATGTCAAAACTTTAATTAAAATACCACAGCAGAAACTTTTGGTCGATAAATAACAGGAGCAAAAACTGACTGGGGTGCTCGTGTATTTGTATTGTACGTAGTCAGGTATTATCTTCGTCACCTGTGTGTCAGGGTCCAAGGTGAAGAGTTTCAGGCGAGCTTCACTCCTCATCTTGGACTCAATATCTCTGGCAGTCTGTTATACAAAGCAAAAAAAAGGAAATTCAACATCACGACATGCGACATTGTACTCAAGATATCCAAGGACAGTGTGTGTATTCACAGCCACGTTCTTGGAGACCATATACACGATGGCAGATGTTTGCTTGGTTAGCACCAACAGGAAACCTGGCTGCAGGAAATCCGGCAATTCCACCCAAAACAGCAGTTACAATTCAGAATGCTTTCGCGTGAGGTCATGTGGCACCTTCAGACATACAAGGCACCGCTACAGTATGTGGACTAATCCATATGGCGTGGCTTGTTACGTGGTCAAACAGGTGTTTAGCATTGTTTTAGCATTACTACAGATGGGAAAAACAGGCTACCTGAAAGCTGTCTTGGAAACTTCCGGAGGACAGGTCTGTTTTTCCGTGCTCCTCGTCTGTTGGAGAGACACAAACACTGCACATAAATGCATGCAGAAATAATTAAGCTGCTAAGAGAGAAAAACAAGATGTCAAGGAAATCAAATATAAATGCAGGAAAACCCACCGTCGTGCAGGTCCCCGTTCCTCTTCTCCTGCATGGCCTGTTCAAAGCTGCTGTGGAGGATCTTGTTGAGGGTGCCGATCCACTCCTCCATCTCTGCTTCGCTGTCTGCAGCCAGCAGGAACGTGCTCTTGTCCTGCATCTTTAGCTCAAAGGCGAACCGACGCACTTTGCTGTTCTGAAAGAACATGAATGCAAACACTTTCACACCGTCTATTTCAGACCTTTTAAAGTTTTTATTACATCCCGGCCCTTTAGAGGCTGTTTGTTTTTAAAGAAGCTGAAAGAATGCACAATTCATTTTCCTGAAGTCATACTGGGGGAGGTGGTTTTAAGAGCCCCAGTGCATAAGATCCTTTACCTGAACAACCCCCATGCATGAGTCAAGGAAGATGGTTCCTTTGGGTTCCTTGGAGGTGTTCTCGTCCTTGTAGAAGTTGAGGTTGTAGGATCCATCTCCCAGCTGGGCCAGATGGAAGTACCTCCTCTTGAAGGACTAGATGATAAAAACAGAGCATGTTAGCATCCCAAAAGGCCTCTTTCTCTCAAAAAATACCACAAGGGTGGAGACGGGGCGTGGGAAAGCTTCACGGTAACATGACAAAGTACGAGGATTTCCATATGTGCAGAGAGAAAAAGACAAACTTAGTATTAGTATTATATTTCCATTAGGTTGTGACTGTACCCGCATAGTAACACTGATTGCACTGTTCATGTTTCCTTTGTACAGCCAGCCATGTTTAGACACTTCTCCCTTCTGAGATCCGAGGGAAGCTGTGTCCTGCAGGAGGAGGTGCAAAAAACCCCACATTAATATGGGTATTCTACCGTTAAATGAGACTTAACACGCATGAGAATCACATACATTTAGGTCTTTATGCATGTCCCCCAAAAGACATACGCGCTTCTCGTTTGAATATATTTACACACATTGGGCTTAAAAACCAGCTGACACCCGCGAATTGGGTCCTGAGAAAGATGCTCTTCATTAACAGCAACAGTGCACTTCTCTAATCTCGGGGGGTTTTAGCCGCGACGGTGCGTCCATCAAAGGTCACCGGGCCTCCCGTTAAATCAATGCCTAAAGCGTGGTAATTATTGGAAGGAGATGTGCTCAAATGTCCCGAAGATGTCAGCTATTCTGGGAAATGGCGTGGGACTAGAACATTAAACAAAACATCCAAAGGTTGGCTTGTATTAAAGGAGTGGAATTAGATAAATGAATACGATATTGTACAATAAGTCAATATATTGTTTGTGCTCTATTTCATTCCCTTGTAATCCAGTTTCTGTTTGAAGAGGGTTGGGTGAGGCCGAGGGAAAAGTTGAACTTATTGCCTCACATGAAGACTATGGCACAGACGGCATTCCCCCAACGAAAACTAAAGTTTGGGATTGGTGGGCTCACCTCGTCTTTTTCCACATCTTCATCCACCTCAAACAGGTGAGCTGCCAGTTTCTCAGGTCTCGACACCTTACTGAAAGCACACGGAAAAGATCACTCAGGTCAACTTCAGATGTGTTTTTGGTCATTTCACTGCTATTCCGAAATTCTAGCTCGACAGGATGTTGCCTGATTACTGCAGCTGCTTCTCTAAGTGCAGCTCAAACCCCAAACTGAGCGTTTGCCCTTTGACCTTTAGAAGACCCAGTGTCCTCGGGGGAACTAGCAGCATAAACAGTGTCAAGGCCAAGGCCGTCTAGGTTTTACACCCCGATGTTTTAAACAAGACACACAACATCTGTAAAGCACATTCCTGTGTTTAAGGAAAGTGGCTCCGTCAAGGACACACAAGACATTGTGGGATTTCCCTTGAGCTTCAATGATATCAATCGGCAGCGCTCCCAGAATAGCTCTGCTTATCCTTGCTAAAAAAACATAGGAAGCCTTTCTATTGTTGCTGTGGAGGAGCTCGGAGCCTCCGAGACACAGATTTACGTGTTTCTAGAGTTCTGGCTCTAACACTCAGTGGGCTGTAAACAAAGGGCAGTGTCACTGAACAAAAGAAGATTTACAATACCCCTTGGAGGGCTTTTGCAGCATTGTGTGCTACACGATGGACAATGTAGACCATTAGCTGAACGGCGCATGCTTCTATGGATATAAAGCTATGGAGAAAAAGCTGGATGGCTTTGCAGATGAACACGTTCCAAGCACCTGTTGGAGAATTGATCCTACATTACCCATAAAGCAAAGCCCTCTCTGCCTTTCAAACTCTACATCCAGTGTGCGACTCTACACCTCACGGCACACTCACTTTGGGAGCTGGCGGAAGTCTCCAGAATACTCCTCATGCTTGTAGTTGACCACATGCCAGTCGGACTTGTAGGTGTTGATGCACTGCAGAGACAGAGAGTGGAGACGGGGTGAGGGGGGTCATTTAAACAAGAGCAAATTAAGACGTACACTCACACACATGGTCCAGACAGGCTCAGGTTTCTAAAACAACCGTATATATAAAGTGTATTTGAGTTCTATCCAAAAAAGGTTTGGACTCGGATGGAAGGCAGACTTTAAGACTTGAAGGAGCCATGGGAAGACCACTAAAGTCATCAAAGTGAAGGTCGGTGTGAATAGGGCCTGTAAATATTACTGAGGAAGGGGGTGAAAATAACAGACACGTGTGCTAGATTAAAATCACTGACCACCAGCGAAGGAAACGTCGCAATCGCCCCACCTCCCCTGGAGAATTCAGTCCCATCCGGGTGGGACTTTCTTGTATAGTTTGCAGAGCAGTAAGATTTCATATCGTCTATTAATTATTGCGGTCATCGTCTGTTCAAGCTCCCTGGAGGTTTGCTAGTCAACATGTTTTTCAGCTTTTTTTTATAGGAGAGAGGCAAACACACTAGTCACTTGGTGATGTTCCAATATGTGTTCATCGATTCTGCGAATTCATAAAACACACATGTCGACTGAGGCAAGGGGTCACTTAAAAAGTGGGAAAATAAAGTACAGCCCATGTGTGTAAGGCCTCCCAGCGACTCCAGATGTAGTTATGATGTAATTCCTGGCTGCAGCCGCGGGGGACTATCCCATATCAGGCTCTATCAGGCCACACCCCAACCAAACAACACGACGTGAACCACCACTGAACTGTGGACTCCATCTGTGGCCGATCCTCTGCACCGTCAGGAAACACGTGAGGGCGGGGAGCGCGAATGGAAGTTCATTTAAAGGCTAACGGCAACATTTTTTGATGTACACCATATCAGTTTCCCCTCGTCTCTAAATCACGTGAACGGTCAGCAAACACTTTTTTTGCTCGCTTCCTCTGAAATCCAATCTGCACCATAAACAGATCAGTATGAATCGTTGGCTGGATTCATGTCTGAACTCCAGTATCTGATGGGTCTTCAGGGTGTCAGAGCCAGTCGACAGAGCAGGGATTCGCTCACGATGGTGAGGTTGATGCTTTGGCCCAAGACGGAGGGATATGGACCGGACAAAGCAGGCTTACTCCCAGGTATGTGTTAGCTTTACCTCTTGGACAAACAGTGAGTGAGCTTCTTTCTCCGCAGTCTCTGGCACGGTGGAGAACAGAGTCCTGCCCTGGCGCCTTAGGGTGGAGATCTGAGGGGAGAGAGGGAAAAGCAGGCATGAATAACAGACTGATAGAAGAGATTTCTGTATCTTTTTTTATTATAAAGCAGGTCTAGGTGCTCTATAAATACGGTTAAAGTATCAAAATGATCAATCCACTAGGAAATACACACAGGCCGTATTCAGAAACTGTGCCTTTTAACGAGCCGTCAGGACTTCCGTATAGTTGTGATGTTACAAATACACAGCCATAGGTGGAAATGCCGCTAAACGCTGACCAATCAGAGCTGACTGGGCTTTTTCGGTAGAGGGTCTTAAAGAGACAAGCGCAAAAACAGAGCGTTTCAGACAGAGGGGGAATACAGGTATATTCAGACTGACAGTATGAGATAAATAACGTGTTTATTAAAAATTAAAGCATGTAAACACGTTCTAGTAGCAACCCAAAATACAAGTATGAACCTGAAAATAAGCACGATATGTCCCCTTTAAGGATGATAATCATTGTGTAATCATAATATTGATCATCGACTATGAACTCTTTTTTTCAAGCACAGTTAGAGATGAAAGGAGATGGTAATTTTGTTCTTTTGAGTCGCTCAAAGAAAGAACAATAACCAGTACTGCAGAGAATGTTCCGCAGCCTGTATTATTCCAGTCCTAATTCTTCATCCTGCTCGCCTTATTAGACAGATACAGAGAGAGAGTGGAGAGCTAGGATCCATAGCTGAGGAGCAAAAGGAGCCTCGGGGCATCAAGACTGTTGGGCTGGCAAGCCTAGCTCCCACCGAGTGTTCTGCTTTTCAACTCAACCCACAAAGCAGAGTAGGAAACAGTGACACAATGACCTAGTTTTGTCATAAATCTTCTATTCCTACACTGGCAAGCATATAGAGTTATTCAGTCTCTGTCCTCATTTGTCCAGTGCACTCTTGCAATAGCAATCAAAGACTTGTCAGAAGCCCAAACTGAGCTCAGTTAAGTCCGTCCAGTGATATGTCAAACGTCTGGCTACAGAAGATACTTGGAATAACAATTAACTGACTTTTTTATGCTTTTGTTGACGCATCGGAAATTTGCTTTCTTGTGAAATAGATGATAAAATCGATACCCGCTCATATCTGTCCGATAAATATGAAGCTGGTGCTAGCAGGCAGTTAGCTTAGCGTAGCATAAAGACTGGGAGCAGGGGGACCCATCTAGCTTGGCTCTGGTTCTTGTTTGTTTAATACATACAAAAGTTCAAATGTAAGAACAACACGGATTAATTAAACAAGACATAACATGCTAATTAGTGAGTGTTAGGTTTCCTCTGACCTAGCTAGCTCGTCTCCTAGCATTAGCATCACATTTAGTGTACAGTATTGATCATCTCATTAAACGCTATTTTGCAAAAAGTCCTAAAATCTCAAGGGTGAGTAGATAATGGGTGAATTTGTACGCCGTATATCTCAGTATGACACTACATAGACACTAATATTTGAAGACTCTAAATAAGCAAAATAGAAATGTATACTCTGTTATGAATGGAAACTCTGACTACATTCAGTCTAATATGTAGGAGAGGAGAGATCCTTGGATGGATATATGTAGCGGAAGTTGATCCACAACTCAACACTTCCCCTCCTTCCACATTGAGGCTCTCTCCCTTGCTGTTACTGTGCGAAAGTGTGTATCCATCCGCGCATGTATCTGTGCAGCACGTGCAAATGCTAGACCCATATGTTTGGCTGCCCCCCCCCTTCTCCTCTCCTCTCCAGTGATGTAAAACATATGGCAGGTTAGACAGATGGACGGACTGGGTCGGACCCACATGCACGCTCACACAAAGGGCAGTTACTAATGGCTGTGCTCTGTAATGAAAACCACTCATTATCTACTGATTGTGAAACAGTCCAGTAGCAGACTGTTGTTGCTCAGTGTGTGGATTCTATTCCTTTGTTTCGTTGCCCTAGTTTGACTGTTATGGCATTGTCTATATGGCACTCAGCAAATCGGAAGGAGAATATCTTTATAAAAGGTATAATGATTAGCTAAAACAGCAGGACACTGTCATTTTTAGCAAATGGTATTCAAACAGGAGAAAATAGTGCATTTGTTGGGGACTATTTTTTTTCAGGAGACTTGAGGATTGACAAACATTTGAGTCTTCTCTTCCTCTCTCAAACTGGGAGTGGCCCCCGCCGAGATCCATCTCAGCGCTATACGGTGATGTAATGTTGACACAAGTGGCAGATCTACGGAGCGTGTAAATGTTTATAAAAGTGCGAGCCAGCGATTGCACCCATGTACATGTAGAAGTCCAATTTATAGATTTAACCTCGTCATCAGCTGTGCTCAGCTGTATTAGGAGCCGATTTCCTAGAAAGACACGAGTCAAGCGCAGTGTTGGGGAACTTAAACAACATCAACGTCTCATAAACTTTTAAAAGACTTTGTAGTGTGTCTGGTAGACCCGCTGAAGCAGGATCGGAAATAATCCAGTTGCAGATAGTGACCCTGCAAGATCCCCAGTCTTTGCCAAATCTTATAGACTGCAACTATCACCTGTAACTTTCCCGTGTGTGACAAACTAAGATGTATATAATATATATAACTCTCACAACGTCTTACCTGGAAGTCGTCCATGGGGAACTGCAGCATGTCCCGCAGAACATCACTGATGATCTGCGTCTTCCTCTGCAGAATCACATTCTCATAGTCCAGAGGCTCTATGATCTTCGGTTTCACCTGAAAGAACAAATTGCAGCAGTGGATCAGCAAGTGGCAAAAACGTGGTTTTTGTTCTGTCCAGCTGTGGTCTTTCATTGAATTTCCATCCGTCTAATTGTACAATTAATAAGGGTATCAGTGTTACAAGTCTGTCTGGACAACAAGTTGCTATTGTCTTTTACTGACGGCTACAGCAGCGAGAACTGGCACAGAGACAGACGTGAATGTGGGTTAACAGAAGAGGAGACGAGGAGAGAAGCGAGGGATGGATGGACGAGCGAGAGTCTGCGTGCGCCATTGTACCAGCCACTGTGTCATGAGCTCACGTTCAAAACCTGAACTAGAGAAGCAAACAGCGGTCATAGCTGCTCTGCAAATCTGTCGACGCCCACCGCAGGAAGATGGACGGTTCAAAATCCTTATGCTGCATTGTAACAGAGATGGCTTTGTAAGCATGGATGCTTGGCAGAAGGTAAGATAGTTGGGCAGAGTTCTTGATGGAGAGATTAAAGTCCGAGCCGACGTCGGCTCTGACATTCCGCAGAGAAGACTCGAGGGATTCCTCCCGCCTGTGATGTTAAAACAACACATCTTCTCACATGACACACACGTGTAGCTGCGTCGGCACATTCAGATCCTAAGGAAGTAAACACAGCTTTGATCTATTTACAGCTGAACTAAGACAGATTTAAGTTTTTAAATACTTTATGCGACACACAACATAATTTCACACCTGTAGATTTGACACAAATTAATTTTCAGGTATAAGGACACAAGCTGTGGGACAAGACTTATTACTGTTATTTATACAGAAAAATGTCCCGATGTTCCACTCTACAGGACCTGTTGATGGCGTCAAACGAAAAGGCGGAGGATCAACGAAGTTATTACGCTTCATACTGAGCAGACGTCTTCCTACCAAATTGAGAGGCAATCCAGCCAATAGTTTTTGAGATATTTTATATTGTCAGTGGACCAATGTTGACCCCTAGAATCCCCCAAATGAAGTGCAAAGTTCCCTTTACTGACAAAGGACCAAACAAATCTGCCACTAGACAAAATATTACCCAGAGTTCCATCTTTCTGTATGTTGGCCCAGTCACCGGGCGCGGCTGTGATCCATATTATTTGGATTAGCCTCTTGATCTGGGCCCAATGAGCACATAACAAACCGAGGCCAATTAAACGGTCGTCTGAACGTCGGCTTTACATTTTCATTGGCCCGACCAATCCTCCCGATGATGTCATGAAAACATCCCTCCGTATCGCTCAGCCCTTTGGATGTAAAAGATCATCTGATAAGCAGAAAATCCAACTGATTTCCAACTGGATTATTGCCATTCAGACGGAAGATAACGACGAGCAGCTGTGAACTGTGACACCTCGGTAATTATCTCACATGAATACGTTGGAGACAAAGTTGTGGGATTGAGTTTAAGGCTGATGGAGATGTGGCTGTTAGTGCGCTCTATAAACTCAAATACTGTCACTTTGATAAAGAGTTATAATCTGGATTTAGTGAACAAAAAATACTCTGAATTTAGTGAAATTGTGCATTAAAATTACATATTTAGAGCAGTAAAGTGACAAATTCTTGAGTTTCTGGAAATATCAAATCTTAAAAAAGAAAAGAATAGGTTGGTGTAGGTTGTCTTTCACAGCGTTCTTGAACAAACCTGCATCTTTTATCATTGCACCAACTTTGCAGCCAACTTGTCAGCCTGCCTGACTCTGAGGCACAGCAACAGTTAATGAACAAAGAGAGCCACAAGTGCTCCATTTCCTAAAAAAAGATCAACATTCAACCCCCTGGAGGGGGTCTGCCCTGAAGCTGCTATTTCCCATTTCCGTCTAACCCTTTTAAAAGAAAAGAATCTTCAAAGCTGCTCTTGGAGTCTGAGAGCTAAAAACAACAACAATCAGATCGCATCGGTTCCACTTACAACCCAAAAGAGGGAGAGGCTTTTTAGAAGGAAAAAATGTGCTTCTATGTGAAAGATGGCACCGTGCGCACTTACCGCTGCCACCTGTGACCCGGCCTCCACCTCCTCCTCAATCTCAGCCAGGCTCTTGTACTGCTGTGGAGACTCTATCACCATCTCCCTTTTGGGGGCTTTGCCAGCCCGGCCCTGCATGGTGGTCAAGTCCTCCTTGCCCGCCGGTAAACAGGTGCGAGACTCACCGCGCACACACCATGGCACAGAGTTGCCCCGCGTGTGCGTGAAGGTAGGGAGAGCTTTTTGCCGACGTCCAGTGAGATTCACTCTTCTGTTCTCAATCGCAGTAGCCCGGCCTCCCTCTCTCTCTCTCTCTCTCTCTCCAGAAGGGCCCCTCCCACCCTCACAGCTGTACAGCTGTGAGGGTGTGTTTGTATGTACAGTGTGTGAGGGGGAGGAGGGGAGGGAGAAATGGACCACTCCCCCATTAAAAAACTTCGAAGAGGCCCAGAGATGATGTTGTCATACGCCTGCTCCACCTGTGTGTGTGTGTGTGTGTGTGTGAATTTTGTACAATTCAGGGTACCAATAAAATATGTATTGGAAAAGATAAGTGCAAGAGAAGAAAAGTAAGAAAAATAATCAAATAGGGAACCCAAAATACCATCACTCAGTATACGGATGTCAATGGCCTGTGCCTTTAAGAGAGCACCACACTGATTCAGCTTAGCACTCCTACAGCATTGGACAATGTAGGAGCTACCAGGCAGCAACCTCAGGTTCTGAAAAGTGAAGCCAATCCGGAAGTGCGTTAAAGCTGCATTCTCTCTAGTGTCCATCAGGGGGCGACTCCTCTGATTGTATTGGAGTCTATGAGAAAACTTCTCTCTTGATTTATTACCTCAGTAAACATTGTAAACATGAGTTTATGGTCTCAATCTCTAGTTTCAAGTCTTCTTCAATACAGCATGATGTTCATTTAGTAACTTATGCTCCATTTAGAGTCAAACAGACCATAAAGCAGGGGATGCTTTGGGGCGGGGATACCTTGTGGAAGCGACTGGGATCATTCTTTTATGTGCAGGGCAACATCTGGCCTCACTTAAACATTGCTTCCTAACTTAGTAAAACACAATGTAACATAGCTAAAAATGGACTGAATTGTCATTTAAATAACAAGAAATTTGTTGTCCAGAAATGCCGAAGATACGTTTTGAAACTGTGTCACCGTATTTCTTTCACCAGAAAGTCTACTTTTCAGTGTGTAGCATAGTGTTCTACTGGTAGCTTGCCAGAGAATTCCTCCATGATCTGATGACGTGACAGGACATAAAAGATGGTCTAGGTCCTTCTACTTCTGATTGTCAGATGGATCCTATATTGGATTGAAAAGCTGCGTCACTGCTGAAGAGACTATAAATAACGAGCCACAGTAACAGCGAGCAGACACCCAATCTGTGTTGATAAAGTTCTGCTCCTCATTGATATTTTGCTCTGCTTTGAACTGGTGCTACGGCGTATCCGCTGCAGCGGGCAGTCACAGCAGGGTCAGTAAAAACACTCTTATCCGGCACTCAGACTCAACACATACACACACACACACACTCTCCTGCTGCTTCAGGAACAGTTAAAGCTGCCCCTTGTTCCTCCGTCGAGTCAGCGTCCTTCCCCTTTAATCTTCAAGCAAACCGAGGCGCCTCGGCTCAGCTGTTTTCTATCGCAGAGAGTGTGCTTCGCAACGATGACATTTAAAGTTGTCAATGAGGAGTTAATGTGGGTCAATTTATGCAAATCCTTTTTTCTCTCTCTCTCTCTCTCTCTCTCTCTCTCTCTCTCTCTCTCTGCGTTAAACACAACTCCCAAGCCACGGTCGATGTTTACAAGCCACTGAATCTTTCTGACATAGCAAGCATGATTAATAACTCACGCACCAATTATCTCCATGGGAAGAGAAGTCAGGGAGCTCTTGAAAGATAGAGAGGGAAGGGTGTGTGTGTGTGTGTGTGTGGAGGGGGGGGGGGGTCAGAGAGAGGGGAGGACACGCCACAGGTCAGGATGACTTCAAAGGCCTCTGCTGCAGTTTCGGTGCCATCACCCCAGACAAAATGTAGCACAAAGGCGGGTAAGGATGTGTGTGTGTGTGTGTGTGTCAGAGTTTCACTTTTCGTACAGCGGGGTTCTCTGATGTGTGAGGCACTGTGCATGATTTGCATAGCTCGTTTTAACTGCACTCTCTTCAAAGGGACTTGCTGAAATGTACCATTCAGAGCAAATAACTTGCCTTTAAAAAATGCAGGAAATCGCACGGAGGCTGTGAAATAAGGTTGTTCAACACCGCCGAGAGAGGGGAGACTGATTCCTGTGGCTTCGTGAGCCACAGGAATAACCGTCAGGAGTGGAGCGACTAATACAAGTGTGTGGGGCGATAGCAACAAATAACGGCGATAGCAACAAATGCGGCATCCTCCTGTTCCGAAAAGTGAAGCCAAAGCGGAAGTGCCTTGAACCTGCATTCTCTCGAATGGCCACCAGGGGGCGACTCACTAGTTTCAAGTCTTCTTCAATACAGCATGATGGTCATTTAGTAAAGGATGGTCCATTTAGAGTCAAACAGACCATAAAGCAGGGGATGCGTCAGGGCGGGGCTACACAGTGATCTACCAGAGACGTATACGCCGTCTCTACGTCACTCCTCCGCACTCCAAATATGGTCACTTACGTTCACTAGTTGCAAAAAAATACTCTGTGGTAAATATCAGAAAAAAAAATGGCGGTAAATCTTAGAGCAAATCTAATGCAGCTCTCTGACTTGACTCTCCTCTGGCCTCGGCCTGTGAAGGACTGCTGACTGGACTGCGGCGGTCTCAGCGATGGCGTCGCCAGCTCAGCGTGATAATCAGCCTCTTGTCAGAGACCCTGCCTGCCACTGAGGTCACCCCGCTTCATTCACCCGCATCTCCGGAGCGCTCCCTCACGCCATCACGCTTCCTGGAGCCATCGCTGGTACTCTGCCAGAGACACCACGAGAGTTTGTGTCCGAGCAGCGTGCATGATGGGAGTGCAAATTAATTTACAAGGCCA